TTGAGGAGGCGAGCGCGAAGATGAGGAGGATTGGAGGTTAACTTTGATATCTTTTTACTAATATAATTGATTCTATTAAAAACAATATTTTTGTTGCCCATTGTATTTATCAGAATTACTGACCTCACAATAAGACAGATTCGAGTAACTTACATTTTGGTGCTGAAACTTGAAGCAGCAGCCACAACACAATCAATTGGAAATGGACAGCTCATGGTGCTGAAAGTAGGGAATTTTGGAAAAGGCTAGTAGCTGGGAGCTTGTTTATGACCGTTTGTGGTGGAACACCTGAAAATTGCATATACTTTCAGAACTGTTTGGGGAGCTACTCATAGGTGGACTGTGAGCTACTAGTATCTGGCGATTTACCTGTTGGAGACCCCCGCAATAGGCCTACCATTTTATGAAAGAAAATGGCAAAAAGCACAGGCCTAGCCCTTGTTAGTTTAAGATTTGGAAGAAAATTAAACTGATCCGATTATATAAAGTGATCCGATTAAACAGCGCTTTGGTCGGTGATGTTTTATGCTAGAAACAAGTTATAAAATACCCGGGAAAGACGTGACTGTCACGCCCTGGCTCTGGGGACTCTAGTATGTTGAGCCAGGGTGTGAGTTTTCATGTGTGTTGGTTCTAGTGTTTGTATATCTATGTTGGCCAGGGTGGCTCCCAATCAGAGACGGCTGTAGCTCGTTGTCTCTGATTGGGAGTCATACTTAGGTAGCCGTTAGGCATTCATTCATTGTGGTTTCTTGTTCGTGTTGGTTTGTGTTTGACCATTGACTGTCACGTCATCGTTTTGATCGTGTGATCATTATATAAATAAATATGTTAGCATTCAACGCTGCGCCTTGGTCCTCATCTCTGTTAGACGATCGTGACAGTGACTCCGATGCATATGGGAGTATCATTGTTTCAATTCTTTGCCTTTCAGAGGCTGTGCTACAACATTCTATAGCTGAGGAGACAGAAAATAGACTTTGCTTGGGAAGTAATCTAATTCTATCAGTATCAATTGATTAAGCTATTCACTTTCTGTACAATAGAATATGTTTAAACCCAGTGAGCTTTTAGGGAAACACTTGTGACCTTCTCTCGTTGGGTTAAGCCACGGAAGAAGAGTAGCCAGCAGTTAAAGCTTACATTTTTCTGTGTCGGTGGGCCTACTCTGTCTGGGTAGGCTATCTTTTGAAAGTACCGTGCTCAGATTTCTAAATAAATTAAATTATTTGCAAACAGGGACAGTTTCGTTGCAGACAAGACACACTGATTTAGCATTGGAGAAATATGATGAGATTAACACATTGGCCTATCTCTCTGTCAATTTTTTGCCTGTGATTTCGGTAATTTGTGTGGTATTAAAATGATTCTGCTAAAATGTAAAATGATGTAGAATTGCATGAAATGTTTATAAAAGGCAATTTTTTCTCTGACCTGCAAATACGATGATAGATTCATGCAATGCTTTTACTATAAAGGAGATATTTCCCCCCCTACTGTTGTCCATGGTGGTCTGCGAACCCACAACCTGGCCCACAGTCCTGTGCTCTATCAAAATTCCTGCGTTTCCATGCATGTCACGATCATTATTAGAGGCAGACCAAGGCGCAGCGTGATAGGCGTACATCTTTTAATGAGTACTCTACACAAACAACAAAACGATACGTGAAGTCTAAAGGTTCACCAGAACAAGATCCCTCAAATAACTAGTGCAAAACAGGCTGCCTAAGTATGGTGCCCAATCAGAGACAACGAGCTACAGCTGCCTCTGATTGGGAACCACCCTGGCCAACATAGAAAACACGAACTAGAACACAACATAGAAAATCACACATAGAAAATCCACACCCTGGCTCAACATATAAGAGTCCCCAGAGCCAGGGCGTGACAATGCAGCCTAATGCTTACAGGCTCTTGTCTGTCCAAGAAGTGAGGGTTTATGGTAGACAGGTTCTCTGCTCTCCACTTTGTTTTAATTATTATTTTGGGTATAAGGGAAGGTCACATTTATTCCCCCAAGCGTTCAGGGAGGGTTTAGGTAAAATATATTTTGGTCCGATTTTCTCCATGTAACCCTTATTATAAATAGCGTTTACTCCCTAAGTTCACGAGGACCAGGATGGTAGGATGAGGCTAAACAAAGCACACCTGATTCTACTAATTAGCTGCTCACCAAGACCTTTAATAGCTGAATCAGGTATGTTGGGTTAGGGTTGGACTGAACCTACAGGACGGTATCTCCAGGATGAGGGTTGGGCGGCCCTGCATACATTAAAGAAGTGTGCCCAATAGATCATGTACTTTAGTAGCACAGCCCACCTCTTCCCTTTGTTATTGAAGGCGTCACAGCACCCCATTGGATCGAAGCGATGGACGGACTTAAGAGGATCAGCCCTCTAGTCCATCCTGATAATCATTTCCTGTACCCAGAAAGCCCAATGCTGGACGATTTGTGCTGATTCATCCTTTTCTGAACATTGTGAAAGATTGTGCTCAAAGTGCTCTCTGTCATAATGCTTACATCAGTGTCCCTGAAGTGTACCTAAGTGAGCTTTTATTAAATTCCCTGTACACGAGAGAAGTTCAGTCTGCTTCTTGAGTGAAGTACTCATGCACTTCAGATAACTCTGCGTCTGGGATTTCAGAATAAACCAGTCAGAAATGATAGAGAACATTAGAGCTGAATTGCCATTGTTTGAACTTAAGAGCAGCCTTGTTTGATGAGTAGAAGTTTGGATACAGTCAAACAGTAACTGTCACAGTGTCAGAGGTGCCAAACAACGTAACACTTCTGGCCTGTGGGTAAAGCGTCAAAGCGTCACCACAGTCAGTAAGGTTTGTGTTGTTTCGACAAGTGTTTCAGCTGAAAGGTATGCTTTAATGAGGGGAGAGACCTTGTTGTAGTGCACTGCTCCACAGACAGGAAATATTCACCCATGCAGATGGTTGGACTAATGACCCAGCCGCTTCAGAGGGGAATGCGAGCGTCGCCTCCAGCCTGGTTGGTGGCACCAGACCCAAACATTGCACTCGACAGTTCCAAGCAGATGGCCGCGGGAAAACACAGCAGACATTAGCATATAATTCAATATGATGAAAGTAGTGTAAGTAAGTTTCCAGGGCCTGGTGTTACTAGGCGTTGGTCACTTTGATTTCAATCAGATTCATGGAGTTTTTGAAATAGAGGATTCGATTTAGATCTGAATACCTTATTACCGGAATCTATACATTTGAAAGGTTTGGGAAAGGCCATTGCAACAGATGACAACAGTGCACACAAAGGAGTCTTTATTTTATTAGACTGCCATTCTCAAGGACATTTGGGGCTAATGTCCCACCTTAGATGTCCTGAAAGTCTATTTATGACAGAAAGCGGTCAATGATGAACTATTGTCAGTGTGACTGTTGTTTACAGGGCTGTGATGCTACTACTAAATATGACTGGACGACCAGGCTTGTTTTTGGAAGAGATAACCAGTTAGCTCAGGGCAGGCTTGTCGTCTACTGTGATGGACATAAACAGGAAGCAGAGAGGGATGCTGTGAGTGCAAAGACTGCACTACGCTGCACTACGCTGCAGGAGAATGATAAGGAAATGGGATAGTCAGATTTCCCTCTGGGGATGAGCCTAGAGGGGCGTTATAAGAACCACCCGTTGGCATAGGGCCTTGAGCACATTGGAGGATGATGTGGGTAAACAAAACTGCACACACACACACACACACACACACATACACATACACATACACATACACATACACATACACATACACATACACATACACATACACATACACATACACATACACATACACATACACATACACATACACACACACACACACCACTTCAACGTACACCAAGGGGGTTTCTGTTTTCAGTTGTATTTTGTGTGTGGTTATGTGACAGCGTTTATAGAAACTCAATGCCCCACAGAACACTCCAATACTAGATTTTGTGTGTAAGACTTAAATATTTGATGGTCTAGTATGCCATTATTATGGTATAATTTCTCCCAAAATGAAAACGTAAGACTTTGGGATCATAGATAGCTCTTATTGCTTTACAGGATATTTAAAGGTAAAGTACCATAGTGCAGACCTTTCAGTCATAGCAACCTTCCTGTACATAATTTCATTGGATTGGAGATTAACTTTTGTAGAAGGAAAATACAAAACGTACAAGGCTTGCTCTATTTCAGATGTGATCTAATCAATCGCTATCGTGCCAGAGTTGTTGTCAGGTAGATATAGTTCATATTATGAGAAGAGTGTCCATTTTGTTTACGTTGTCTTATCTATTCTCTTCTGACTGCTTCTTTTAGAACTGTCTTGTCTGGCACTTCCATTGTGATTTTACACACACACACAGTTTCATACAGGGAGAATTGAATTCAGCCTGTTGCCTCTGTAAGCCAATAATTCCCCTTAGAGAAAGTCATATTACATAGCAAATGACAGTGTTTTTCAGGTGGACTACTAGTGAGGTATTCATTTCATTCCATTGCGATTTCTGTTCCCCACACACATTCTCAATGGACTGAAATCTATCTGCCTGGTCTAGGCGAATCCGCCAATAAAACCACAGATGATATGCAGCCTCTCTGAGGAAGGAATTAGCTTTCTGCTTTTCTCTCAAATGGAAAAATACCAAGTCATTGTCAACAACTGTGTCCCATGCCAAAAATACCTGTTCAAAGGAAATTAGCTGTTTGGTGGAAGCTGTATGCTGGAATCAATGAATTCATACATCTAGTTCTCCTCAGTGTCATTGTCACAACGTTCACAATGTTTCATTTCATCAAGGAAATGTTTTCTTTTCATTTCTTAAAGTTCTCTTTCTAACCATGTTTTTGTGTTGTCTTCTTCTTTCTATGTAGTGGGATGACATCCCAGTGTGTCTCCCCATCGTTACCTTGTTTAGTCTCCAGAGTTCCTGCTCTCTGTCAGGGGCTAGCCTGCTGATTCCTCTCCACCACCACGTCACGTCACGGGGGGCCGATGCGGCGTTTCGTCTACTGTAAGGTGGTGCTGACCACCTCGCTTGTCTGGGTGCTGGTGGATGTCTTCCTGCTTCTCTACTTCAGCGAATGTAACAAATGTGATGAGAGGAAGGACCACTCACTGCTGCCTGCTCTCAGAGGTGAGCCCTACATTGAATCAACTTTATTAATCCCATGAGGGGAAATTCGGTTTGTCACCAGCAAGACACAAACAACAACAAATGCATACTTGAGACGCATAGACAAAGCATTGATGGTTGGTGAATCAAGCACAACTCATGACTTCAATAGAAGCCAATGGATTTAATACTATAGACTTAAAACCTAATCAAACATACATTATAGTGTTTTCTCTGTAGATATGGGTTGGTGGGTTGGTGGCCCTGTGAAGCAGTCACCATGACTCAGTCTAGATAGACATTTTATTTGACACAGATTTGCCAACTCTACACAGTAGTCCAATACAAACAAGTAATTGTCCAATGTAAACACAGTAGTCCAATACAAATGACACTATTCTCATGCTATTACTTTTGGGAATCAGTTTGGAGAACAAACACCAGAGTAAACTTCAAAGAAAAGCAATGGAGTTACTAATAAACTTGTTGAATCTCAGACTAAGTGCACAATTAAGAGAAAAACACTTGTCCTTGAGAATGAGAAAATGGTTGATTCTCAATGGCACCCTATTCCCTATATAGTACACTACTTTTGACCAGGGTTCATAGGGCTCTGGTCAAAAGTAGTGCACTTTATAGGGAATAGGGTGCCATTTGGGACACATCTGCCTTGATCCAACTGTCCCGAGTGGCGCAGTGGTCTAAGGCACTGCATCGCAGTGCTAGCTGTGCCACTAGAGATCCTGGTTCGAGTCCAGGCTCTGTCGCGACCGGGAGACCCATGGGCGGCGCACAATTGGTCCAGCGTCGTTCAAGGTAGGGGAGGGTTTGGCCGGCAGGGATGTGGGTTTGTTTCCCACGGGGGGCCAGTATAATAAATAAATAAATAAAATATATTTAAAAAAATATAATAAGAAACATTTTTTTTATGCATTCGACTAACTGTAAGTCGCTCTGGATAAGAGTGTCTGCTAAATGACTAAAAATGTAAAAAAAATGTTAAAGCAGCTGTTAAGTAGGAAAAGAGAGCCTTTGGCTATACATCCGTATCCCTGGTTAATCATGCGTATCCACTGGAGTCTCCTTTCCTTCTTTGGCCCAGTATTCCCTTACATGTCCTTTCCAGTAAGCAGGTTTACAAGTGACCCGCTAAGCTGCTTTCAAGGTTAGAATTGGGGAGAAACCACCGCCAGAAAGAGGCTAAAAAGCTATGTGGCCTTCTCGATTCCAGACTCATTTCCATCACAACAGTGCTGAAGTTACATACGAGTTACTTATGCTCTTAGTTTAATTGAAATGGTGTTATTCGGTTTGGCACATGCACTCAGCATTGAGGTCATTTTCAGACTAAATATGTCAGTGTAAGCTTTTGGGAGAATTAATGGCTTAGGCTTTTGGCAGTCTGTCACCCATTCTCTCTGTTGCTTTAAGAGGCTCCAATGAACATTGTCAAAGATATTTGCTTGGCCTAATGGTCTTTGATCCTTGTATTACATATGTTAATATTATTTAGTTTAGGCCTTTTTTGACATTCTTAAAGGGATAGTTCACCAATATGTCATTATGTAATTTAGGTGAATCCCTTTAATAAAGTACAAGTACACTGAGTATACCAAACATTAGGAACCCACAGAACAGCCTCAATTCGTCGGGGCATGGACTCTACAAGGTGTCGAAAGCGTTCCACAGGGATTCTGGCCCATGTTGACTCCAATGCTTCCCACTGTTGTGTCAAGTTGGCTGGATGTCCTTTGGGTGATAGACCATTCTTGATGCACACAGGAAACTGTTGACTTTTGCAGTTCTTGACACAAACCGGTGTGCCTGGCACCTACTACCATACCCTGTTCAAAGGCACTTCAATCTTTTGTCTTGCCCATTCACCCTCTGAATGGCACACATACACAATCCATGTCTCATTTGTCTCAAAGCTTAACAATCCTTCTTTAACCTGAATCCTCCTCCCCTTCATCTTACACTGATTGAAGAGGATTGAAGTGGATTTAACAAGTGACATCAATAAGGGATCACAGCTTTCACTTTGTCAGTCTGTCATGGAAAGAGCATTCTTAATGTTTGTTTACTCAGTGTATGACTACAATACATTGAAATACTGCAGTTTCTTTGTAGTGTTGTATAATTTATATTCTACTGTGAAGCAAAACATGGCTTTTACACGTGTTGGTTTTAGATTGGATGATTACTTATAATATCCATTTGTTTGAATTATGCAACCAAATGTATTACATCAATATACAAGCCTTACAACAATATTATACAACCATATAATCACCATGCTACGACTAAGGAATTGCAACCTATGAAGTTATACAGTAAGCCATATGGATTGGATCAATCTCATTGCATTATATCTCATTTGGACAAGTGGACGCCGATTCCAGTGTACATAATCTAGTCAATAATGGACTTTTAAAGAATGTTTGCGTTTGATTCCAGATGAGGGCAGGTACACCTCAGCGGTGGCTCGGTCTGTATTGGGTACTGCATTAAACATATGGTCTGACCATAAAGTTATGTTTCAAGTTTTATTAGTCGTGCCGTATGTACAGGATATACATGGTATACACCGTCCAATGAAATGCTTACTTGCAGGTTCCTTCTCGACGATGCAACAAGAAATAAAAGATTTGAATACGAACATAAAGTAATGGGTGCCATTTGACGTTAAACCCAACAAAAAGTTTCCATTACAAATGGGATTCGATGAAAGCTGTGCAAGAGGGTAAGCGTTTGGTAATGGGTAAGCCATTGTAGCAGATGTCAGAAGTATACAGTAGTTACCGAAATCTCCTACTCACTAAACAAATAGCTTATTGATTTTATTAATAATTTATGTATATGTAGTCAGCATGTCAACATTGCTGGTTCCCAGAACATTCTGTGCCATTTCTGGGTGTACAGTAGAACTGAGTAGCTCCTCCTATAAAGAAGATCCTCTATTTTAGACAGCTTCAAAAACAGAAATACATAAAACATTTCCGACCACATTGTGTTTCAAACCTTCTATAATCTTGGAATTGAAGATATACAAAAAAAATGCTATTTTTCCTATCAGTATGTTTTTGTGTAAGCACTAAGCCAGCAGTGTCAACCTCACTTCCTGGAGGTCAGTGGGCCTACTGGTAATTGTTATTTCCTTTTAAGTCGTGCCCAATTAAGACCTAGACAACCAAGTGAGGGGAGTTCCTAACTAATTAATGACCTTAATTCATCAATCAAGTACAAGAGAAGAGCGCAAACCCACAGACACTCGGCCCTCCAGGAATTGAGTTTGACACCCTTGCACTAAGCCAATTGAGAGTGAGTTCACCGAGTGCTAGCCCTGAAACAAACAGTAGCATTGCGTTGTTGTACTGTTATGAAGCTGATTTGGGTTTGGGCTCTTGTGATGTCCTGGCAGCTAGGTCAAACAGGGAAGCAGGAGGCAAGGGAGAGAGAGAGGACAGGAGCTGCCCCCAAAACAGAGTCTTTGTCCCGAATGGAAGCCTATTCCCTTTATAGTGCACTACTTTTAACCAGAGCCCTACGTCCAGTCTCTTAACTCAGCAACCTTGTACAGGCCACAAAGTCCCCTTCCACTCTCCTCTGCAAAGTAAAAAAAGCATAGAAATGGCTTGAGGATGTTGGAAACCAAGCTAAGATAATCAAGATAAGAGAATCATAGCCGCCCTGCAATCAATGTAAATCCAATGGATTGAGCTTGCCCTTAAAGCAGGCTTCCCAGCCTTCTGGGAGAATCAATCAGTCCAATTTGAGTTTTTTGAAAATCACATTGGGAACTGCTGATGGAACCAAAAGACACAGTTTTCTTTTTGAATGGGAAAACAAATCTAAATGACTACATTTCCATTTAGTCATTTACAGATGCTCCTATACAAAGTTACTTTTGCATTCATATAAGGGGGGGGGGGGGGGGGGGGGGGGGGGGGGGGGGGGGGGGGGGTCTGCTGTACTAGCTTCAGGGGGAAGCTGGTTCCACCATTGGGGTGCCATGCCAGGACAGAGAAGAGCTTGGACTGAGTGGGAGTTTCCTTCCCGTAGGGGTGGGAGGACCAAGAGACCAGAGGTGGCAGAATGGAGTGCTTGGGTTGGGGTGTAGGGTTTGAGCATAGCCTGAAGGTAGGGAGGGGCAGTTCCTCTTGCTGCACTGTAGGCAAGTACCATGATCTTGTAGTGGATACAAGCATCAACTGGAAGCCAGTGGAGTGTGCGGAAGAGCGGGGTGACATGGGAGAACTTGGGAAGGTTGAAGACCAGGTGGGATGCAGTGTTCTGAATAAGTTGCTGGGATTTGATGGTACAAGCAGGGAGCCCAGCCAACAGCGAGTTGCAGTAATCCAGATGGGAGATGACCAGTGCCTGGATTAGGACCTGCGCTGCTTCCTGTTTGAGGTAGGGTCATACTCTACAGATGTTGTAGAGCCTGAACCTGCAGGAGCAAGCCACTGCTTTGATGTTTGCAGAGAAGGACCGGGTGTTGTCCTGGGTCACGCCAAGGTTCTTTGCACTCTGGGAGGGCGACATTGTGGAGTTGTCAACGTGATAGAGGTCTTTGAGCGGGCAGGCCTTACCCGGGAGAAAGAGAAGCTCAGTCTGGTTGAGGTTGAGCTTGAGGTGGTGGGCCGACATCCAAGCTGAGATATCTGCCAGGCACGCAGAGATGCGTGTCACCACTTTGGTGTCAGAAGGAAGGAAGGAGAAAAGTAGTTGAGTGTCATCCGCATAGCAATGATAGGAGAGACCATGTGAGGATATGATGTAGCCGAGTGACTTGGTGTATAGAGAGGGCCTAGAACTTATCAATGTGTCAAGCTCATTGAGGAACTCTCCCAGGGCACCTGGTGGGCGATAGTTGACATCAATGTTAAGCTTGAGTGGACAAGTGACAGTGACAGCATGGAATTCAAATGAGGAGATGGACAGGAGAGAGGGAGTAAAGAGAAAATCTCCTGTTATGAGAAATTAGTAGCCCTGTGCCACCACCGCGACGACCAGATGCTCTTAGACTATGAGAGAAAACGTAGTCAGATGGAGAGCAGATGGAGTAGCAGTGTTCTCTGAGGTTATCCATGTCTCCGCCATGGCCAAAAAAAATCCAGGGACTGAATGGCAGCATAGGCTGAGATGAACTCGGCAGTTCCAAATGCTGCCAGAGACCCGGAATTCCACAGAGGTTGTGCGCGCAGGCTACACTAAATTAGAAGGTTTGTAGCCAAGGTGTGGGGAGTGTCTGTAAAGCCTTCTGTGAGAGGAGTGTACAGATATAGAAAACACATACTGTAGTTACCAAAACTACAAAAAAGCAAAATGAGATCATCAGAAAATAACTAGGTAAGATACTCAAGCGTGGAGCCTTCCTGTCTTTCCTTCCTCCAACAACTTGACAGAGCGGTCTTTGTTTCGGTGACGAGACCACCACTGACACAGCAACCACTTAGAAACCAGGGGAGACTGAAGTACAAACACTAATTGCTAATTGCCTAGCAGAGGTGAAGAGCACACCTCCCTGTACCAATTGCTGTTTGCCTAGGAGAGGAGAAACCACTCCCCCTCCATTACAGCCACTGATTACCAAAACAAGTCACAAATTGCCCAACCTCAACCCTGGTTGATGTGTCAACAATCTTCTGCAATTTATGAGCAGTCAGCAGTTCACACACCAAGTAGGCTACTGGGAAGACAGGCAGCACTTAAAGTAGATGGCCCTAGCTAGCAAAAAGACAGTACTAGACAACAACAGATAAAGACAAATATATCAGGAGTCCTCTAGCTATAAAATGAAGCACTTACATAGCCACTGTTGCAATAAGCTCTGTCACTTGTGGATTGCAATACTGTATTCATACTTATTTGTCCATTTAAAATACATATTTAATAACTCATCAAAAGTTTAGGTAGGCTAATCGATTAATCTCCATTATTTTTGTCCCCCCCCCCCCAAAAAAAAACTGTAAAGATATGTTTTACAGGAAACAGGTTAAAAGAATAGAGCACTCTTGTTTTTGCTCAACACTATTGAACATCTCTACAGACCCATTGTATATGAGTGTGAAGACCATATAGCAGTAATTGCTGACAAAGTCACTGGACAAGGACTAGGGCAGAAGACCTATGGGCATTAGGATGGATTTGTTGGGCTGAAGAGCCAGAGAAAGGGCAAATACCACAGTCTCGTTATTTATTATTTATAAGCCTGAGGATACTATTGAGCAGTTCAATTGAACTTGTGAGGATACTGTACATGTTTTCATATAGAAATCACAACATTGGTGGGTGAATGGTCACCTGGATCAGTTGGAGGCATTATCTCTCTCTCTCTCTCTCTCTCTCTCTCTCTCTCTCTGAACAACACTGTCGTGAAAAGGGCACGACAATGCCTCTTCCCCCTCGGGAGGTTAAAAAGATTTGGCATGGGCCCTCAGATCCTCAAAAAGTTATACTGCTGCACCATAGAGAGCATCTTGACTGGCTGCATCACCACTTGGTATGGCAACTGCTTGGCATCCGACCACAAGGCGCCACAGAGGGTGGTGCGGACGGCCCAGTACATCACTGGGGCTGAGCTCCCTGCCATCCAGGACCTCTATACCAGGCGGTGTCAGAGGAAGGCCCAAAAAAGGCTCAAAGACTCCAGCCACCCAAGCCACAGACTGGTCTCTCTGCCACCACACGGCAAGTGGTGCCAATGCACCAAGTCTGGAACCAATAGGACCCTGAACAGCTTCTACCCCCAAGCCATAAGACTTCTAAACAAGACTGCTAAATAGCTAATCAAATGGCTACCTGCAACTCTGTTGCACTGGACTTTACCCACAGTCTCACATATACTTACACTGACACCCCAACACACTCACACACACACACACACACACACACACACACACACACACACACACACACACACACACACACACACACACACACACACACACACACACACACACACACACACACCACATATGCTGCTGCTTCTGTCTATTATCTATTCTGTTGTCACTTTATCCCTACCTATATGTACAGTACAATTACCTCGTACCCCTGCACATCAACTCGGTACTGGTACTCCCTGTTATTTTCTACTCCCTATATATAACCATGTTATTTTCTACTCTCTATATATAGCCATGTTATTTTCTACTCCCTATATATAACCATGTTATTTTCTACTCTCTATATATGTCACGATCGTCTGAAGGATTGGACCAATGCGCAGCGTTGCGAGTGAACATGATGACTTTATTAATCAAAGCAACCACGAAAAACAACAAAAGACGATACGTGAAGTTCTATACTGAAATACGACAAACAGCAACAAAGAAACAATAACCCACAACACAAAGGAGAAAACATACAGAATATATATGGCTCCCAATCAGAGATAACGAGCCGACAGCTGACACTCGTTACCTCCGATTGGGAGTCATCGACCAATCACCACATGACACAAACAAAATGAAACTCACCCATCCCCAACACCACCAAATGAAATACACCCAAACACATGAAAATGAACAACCCTGGCTCAATATAAACGTCCATAGAGCCAGAGTGTCACAGTACCCCCCCCCTAAAGGTGCGAACTCCGGGCGCACCAACATCAGGACTAGGGGAGGGTCTGGGTGGGCGTCTGTCCATGGTGGCGGCTCTGGCCCCGGTCGTGATCCCCACCCCACCACAGTCACAACCTGCTTCGGTAGCCTCCTCCTAATGACCACCCTCCACCTAACCCCACCTGGACTAAGGGGCAACCCCGGACTAAGGGGCAGCATCGGCCTAAGGGGCAGCACCGGGATAAGGGGCAGCACCGGGATAAGGGGCAGCACCGGGATAAGGGGCAGCACCGGACTAAGGGGCAGCACCGGACTACGGGGCAGTACCGGACTAAAGGGCAGTACAGGACTAAGGGGCAGCACCGGGCTAAGGGGCAGTACCGGACTCAGGGGCAGCACCGGACTAAGGGGCAGCACCGGGCTAAAGGGCAGCACCGGGCTAAGGGGCAGTACCTGACTAGATGGCGGATCCTGGCTGGCTGGCTCTGGCGGATCCTGGCGGGACGGCTCTGGCGGATCCTGGCGAGACGGCTCTGGCGGATCCTGGCGGGACGGCTCTGGCGGATCCAGGCTGGACGGCTCTGGCGGATCCTGGCGGGACGGCTCTGGCGGATCCTGGCTGGACGGCTCTGGCGGATCCTGGCTGGACGGCTCTGGCGGATCCTGGCTGGACGGCTCTGGCGGATCCTGGCTGGACGGCTCTGGCGGATCCTGGCTGGACGGCTCTGGCGGATCCTGGCTGGACGGCTCTGGCGGATCCTGGCTGGACGGCTCTGGCGGATCCTGGCTGGACGGCTCTGGCGGATCCTGGCTAGACGGTTCTGGCGGATCCTGGCTGGACGGCTCTGGCGGATCCTGGCTGGACGGCTCTGGCGGATCCTGGCTGGACGGCTCTGGCGGATCCTGGCTGGCTGACGGATCTGGCGGATCCTGGCTGGCTGACGGATCTGGCTGCTCATGGCTGGCTGACGGATCTGGCTGCTCATGGCTGGCTGACGGATATGGCTGGCTGACGGGTCTGGCTGCTCATGGCTGGCTGACGGGTCTGGCTGCTCATGGCTGGCTGACGGGTCTGGCTGCTCATGGCTGGCTGACGGATCTGGCTGCTCATGGCTGGCTGACGGATCTGGCTGCTCATGGCTGGCTGACGGGTCTGGCTGCTCATGGCTGGCTGACGGATCTGGCTGCTCATGGCTGGCTGACGGATCTGGCTGCTCATGGCTGGCTGACGGATCTGGCTGCTCATGGCTGGCTGACGGATCTGGCTGCTCATGGCTGGCTGACGGGTCTGGCTGCTCATGGCTGGCTGACGGGTCTGGCTGCTCATGGCTGGCTGACGGGTCTGGCTGCTCATGGCTGGCTGAAGGCACTAGCGGCTCCGATCTGGCGGACGGCTCTGAAGGCTCATGGCAGACGGGCGGCTTTGCAGGCTCAGTACAGACGGGCGGCTTATGCAGCGCTTGACAGACGGGCAGTTCAGACGCCATAGGGCCGACAGGCAGTTCAGGCGCCGTTGGGCAGACGGCCAGTTCAGGCGCCGTTGGGCAGACGGCAGACTCTGGCCGACTGGTGACGCACCCCGTAGGATTCGTGCGTGGAGCAGGAACAGGCCGGGCTGGGCTGGCGACGCGCACCTTATCCCTGGTGCGAGTGGCCGGAACAGGCCGGGCCGGGCTGGCGACGCACATCGTGGACCTGGTGCGTGGAGTAGGAACAGACCGGTCCGTACCGGGAACACCCACCACTGGCCTTAACTGGGGATCAAGAACGGACCGGACCAGACTGGGAACACACTTCAGTCTCTCATGCCGTGCCACAACAACTTCCCTCACTCTACTCGCCAATGGCTCCCGTAATCCGATAGCCTTCTCTCCAGCTCTACCTGTGGCAGCCTCCTGCTGCCCAGGCGCCCAAGCCATGTGCCCCCCCAAAAAAATTTTTTGGGGAGTAACCACGGGCTTCCAGCCTCGACTCCGCGCTTCCTCTTCATACCACCTCCTCTCGGCTGCAGCTGCCTCCAGCTCTTCACGAGGGCGGTGATATTCCTCCTCATACCACCTCCTCTCGGCTGCAGCTGCCTCCAGCTCTTCACGAGGGCGGTGATATTCCTCCGGTTGTGCCCAAGGACCCTTTCCAGCCCGAATCTCCTCCCATGTCCAAAAGTCCTTAGGAGGCTTCCATAAATCCTGCGTAGGTAGGTCCTGTTGCCGCTTGTTACGCCGCTTGGTCCTCTTGTGGTGGGTTATTCTGTCACGATCGTCTGAAGGATTGGACCAATGCGCAGCGTTGCGAGTGAACATGATGACTTTATTAATCAAAGCAACCACGAAAAACAACAAAAGACGATACGTGAAGTTCTATACTGAAATACGACAAACAGCAACAAAGAAACAATAACCCACAACACAAAGGAGAAAACATACAGAATATATATGGCTCCCAATCAGAGATAACGAGCCGACAGCTGACACTCGTTACCTCCGATTGGGAGTCATCGACCAATCACCACATGACACAAACAAAATGAAACTCACCCATCCCCAACACCACCAAATGAAATACACCCAAACACATGAAAATGAACAACCCTGGCTCAATATAAACGTCCATAGAGCCAGAGTGTCACAATATATAACCATGTTATTTTCTACTCTATATATAACCATGTTATTTACTGCTCCCTATATATAACCATGTTATTTTCTACTCTCTATATATAACCATGTTATTTTCTACTCTCTATATATAACCATGTTATTTTCTACTCTCTATATATAACCATGTTATGTTCTACTCTCTTTATATACTCTCTATATATAACCATGTTATTTTCTACTCCCTATATATAACCATGTTATTTTCTACTCTCTATATATAACCATGTTATTTTCTACTCTCTATATATAACCATGTTATTTTCTACTCTCTATATATAACCATGTTATTTTCTACTCTATATATAACCATGTTATTTTCTACTCTATATATATAACCATGTTATTTTCTACTCTATATATAACCATGTTATTTACTGCTCCCTATATATAACCATGTTATTTTCTACTCTCTATATATAACCATGTTATTTTCTACTCTCTATATATAACCATGTTATTTTCTACTCTCTATATATAACCATGTTATGTTCTACTCTCTTTATATACTCTCTATATATAACCATGTTATTTTCTACTCCCTATATATAACCATGTTATTTTCTACTCTCTATATATAACCATGTTATTTTCTACTCTCTATATATAACCATGTTATTTTCTACTCTCTATATATAACCATGTTATTTTCTACTCTATATATAACCATGTTATTTTCTACTCTATATATAACCATGTTATTTTCTACTCTCTCTATACAGTGGGGGGGGGGGGGAAGTATTTAGTCAGCCACCAATTGTGCAAGTTCTCCCACTTAAAAAGATGAGAGAAGCCTGTAATTTTCATCATAGGTACACGTCAACTATGACAGAAAAATTGAGATTTGTTTTCTCCAGAAAATCACATTGTAGGATTTTTTATGAATTTATTTGCAAATTATGGTGGAAAATAAGTATTTGGTCACCTACAAACAAGCAAGATTTCTGGCTCTCACAGACCTGTAACTTCTTCTTTAAGAGGCTCCTCTGTCCTCCACTCGTTACCTGTATTAATGGCACCTGTTTGAACTTGTAATCAGTATAAAAGACACCTGTCCACAACCTCAAACAGTCACACTCCAAACTCCACTATGGCCAAGACCAAAGAGCTGTCAAAGGACACCAGAAACAAAATTGTAGACCTGCACCAGGCTGGGAAGACTGAATCTGCAATAGGTAAGCAGCTTGGTTTGAAGAAATCAACTGTGGGAGCAATTATTAGGAAATGGAAGACATACAAGACCACTGATAATCTCCTTCGATCTGGGGCTCCATGCAAGATCTCACCCCATGGGGTCAAAATGATCACAAGAACGGTGAGCAAAAATCTCAGAACCACACGGGGGGACCTAGTGAATGACCTGCAGAGAGCTGGGACCAAAGTAACAAAGCCTACCATCAGTAACACACTACGCCGCCAGGGACTCAAATCCTGCAGTGCCAGACGTGTCCCCCTGCTTAAGCCAGTACATGTCCAGGCCCGTCTGAAGTTTGCTAGAATGCATTTGGATGATCCAGAAGAGGATTGGGAGAATTTCATATGGTCAGATGAAACCAAAATATAACTTTTTGGTAAAAACTCAACTCGTCGTGTTTGGAGGACAAAGAATGCTGAGTTGCATCCAAAGAACACCATACCTACTGTGAAGCATGGGGGTGGAAACATCATGCTTTGGGGCTGTTTTTCTGCAAAGGGACCAGGACGACTGATCCCTATAAAGGAAAGAATGAATGGGGCCATGTATCGTGAGATTTTGAGTGAAAACCTCCTTCCATCAGCAAGGGCATTGAAGATGAAACGTGGCTGGGTCTTTCAGCATGACAATGATCCCAAACACACCGCCCGGGCAACGAAGGAGTGGCTTCGTAAGAAGCATTTCAAGGTCCTGGAGTGGCCTAGCCAGTCTCCAGATCTCAAGTTGAAAGTGTTGAAAGTCCGTGTTGCCCAGCGACAGCCCCAAAACATCACTGCTCTAGAGGAGATCTGCATGGAGGAATGGGCCAAAATACTAGCAACAGTGTGTGAAAACCTTGTGAAGACTTACAGAAAACGTTTGACCTGTGTCATTGCCAACAAAGGGTATATGACAAAGTATTGAGAAACTTTTGTTATTGACCAAATAGTTATTTTCCACCATAATTTGCAAATAAATTCATAAAAAATCCTACAATGTGATTTTCTGGAGAAAGAAATTCTCATTTTGTCTGTCATAGTTGACGTGTACCTATGATGAAAATTACAGGCCTCTCTCATCTTTTTAAGTGGGAGAACTTGCACAATTGGTGGCTGAATAAATAATTTTTTCCCCACTGTATAACCATGTTATTTTCTATTCTCTATATATAACCATGTTATTTTCTACTCTCTATATCTTACCATGTTATTTTCTACTCTCTATATATAACCATGCTATTTTCTACTCTCTATACTGTGCCTTGCAAAAGTATTCATCCCTCTTGGTGTTTTTCCTATTTTGTTGCATTGCAATATAGAAATATCAGAAACTTTGAACATCCCACGGAGCACCATTAAATCCATTATTAAAAAATTGAAAGAATATGGCACCACAACAAACCTGCCAAGAGAGGGCCGCCCACCAAAACTCACGGATCCAGGCAAGGAGGGCATTAATCAGAAAGGCAACAAAGAGACCAAAGATAACACTGATGGCGCTGCAAAGCTCCACAGCGCAGATTGGAGTATCTGTCCATAGGGCCACGTTAAGCCATACACTCCACAGAGCTGGGCTTTACGAAAGAGTGGCCAGAAAAAAACCATTGCTTAAAGAAAAAAATAAGGAAACACGTTTGGTGTTTGCCAAAACGCATGTGGGAGACTCCCCAAACATATGGAAGAAGGTATTCTGGTCAGATGAGACTCAAATTGAGCTTTTTGGCCATCAAGGAAAACGCTATGTCTGGCGCAAACCCAACACCTCTCATCACCCAGAGAACACCATCCCCACAGTGAAGCATGGTGGTGGAAGCATCATGCTGTGGGGATGTTTTTCATCGGCAGGGACTGGGAAACTGGTCAGAATTGAAGGAATGATGGATGGCGCTAAAAGTCTTCCAGAGATTTGAGACTGGGACAGAGGTTCACCTTCCAGCAGGACAATGACCCTAAGCATACTGCTAAAGCAACACTCGAGTGGTTTAAGGGGAAACATTTAAATGTCTTGGAACGGCCTAGTCAAAGCCCAGACCTCAATCCAATTGAGAATCTGTGGTATGACTTAAAGATTGCTGTACACCAGCGGAACCCATCCAACTTGAAGGAGCTGGAGCAGTTTTGCCTTGAAGAATGGGCAAAAATCCCAGTGGCTAGATGTGCCAAGCTTATAGAGACATACCCCAAGAGACTTGCAGCTGTAATTGCTGCAAAAGGTGGCTCTACAAAGTATTAACTTTGGGGGGGGTGAATAGTTATGCACGCTCAAGTCTTCTGTTTTTTTGTCTTATTTCTTGTTTGTTTCACAATAAAAAATATTTTGCGTGTTCAAAGTGGTAGGCATGTTGTGTAAATCAAATGATACAAACCCACCAAAAATCCATTTTAATTCCAGGTTGTAAGGCAATAAAATAGGAAAAATGCCAAGGGGGATGAATACTTTCGCAAGCCACTGTATATAACCATGTTATTTTTACTCATTATTCTTAATCATTATTCACTGTGTATTTATTCCTTGTCACTATTTAAATGTTTTATTAAATGTTTTGTCTTGTTGGAAAAGTAAGCATTTCACTGTTAGTCTACACCTGCTGTCTACGAAGCATGTGTCAAATAACATTTGATTGATTTGATTTGATCTACTGTCTCATGAGAAAGAGAGAGGAGGGAGAGACTATATGAACAATGTTCTTTCTCATAAGTCCCTCAGTTGAAGCTGAAATTTTTCTCACCTCCTTATACATTTAGACCCATTTTCAATCAGTGAGGTTGCAAATATAGTATGTTTCAGACAGTATAGCTGGCCTTCAGTTCTTTGTGCACCATATATCTATTGTAGTATCTGTGCAAATAGATTAATGGATGATCTGAGTGGCTGTGGGGAGCATGTGTTAGATGGACAGTTCATTGAATAATCCAGCTCAGCTCTCTCCGCAAGCCCATCAGGTTTAAGCCAATGTCCTAATGGAGGGTGTCACCACCGAGAAGAACCTCGATCAGATCAGAGTCTAAACCTCCACTAGCCCAGCATTGAATCTCCAGAAGGGTTGAATGGGGATGCGTCCCAAATGGCACCCTATTCCCTTTATAGTGTACTACTTTTGACCAAAGCCCTATGGGCCCATTCCATTTGGAATGCAACATGGGAATCCTCTTTCTTGTTTTATTTTTACTTAACCTTTATTTAATTAGGAAAGTCAGTTAAGAACACATTCTTATTTACAATGACGGCCTACCAAAAGGCAAAAGGCCTCCTGCGGGGACGGGGTCTGGGATTAAAAAATTAATAAATATACACTACCAGTCAAAAGTTTGGACACACGTGCTCATTCAAGTGTTTTTCTTTATTTTTTACTATTATTTACATTGTAAACTATGAAATAACACATATGGAATCATGTATTAACCAAAAAAGTGTTAAAATTTCAAAATATATTTTATATTTGAGATTGTTCAAATTGCCACTCTTTGCTTTGATGACAGCTTTGCACACTCTTGGCATTCTCTCAACCAGCTTCATGAGGTAGTCACCTGGAATGCATTTCAATTAACAGGTGTGCCTTCTTAAAAGTTAATTTGTGGAATTTCTTTCCTTCTTAATGCGTTTGAGCCAATCAGTTGTGTTGTGACAAGGTAGGGGGGTATACAGAAGATAGCCCTATTTGATAGAAGACCAAGTCCATATTATGGCAAGAACAGCTCAAATAAGCAAAGACAAACGACAGTCCATCATTAGTTTAAGACATAAAGGTCAGCCAATACGGACAATTTCAAGAACTTTGAAAGTTTCTTCAAGTGCAGTCGCAAACACCATCAAGCGCCATGATGAAATTGCCTCTCATGAGGACCGCCACAGGAATGGAAGACCCAGAGTTACCTCTGCTGCAGAGGATGAGTTACCAGCTTCAGAAATTGCAGCCCAAATAAATGCTTCACAGAGTTCAAGTCACAGACACATCTCAACATCAACTGTTCAGAGGGGACTGTGTGAATCAGGCCTTCATGGTCGTATTGCTGCAAGGAAACCACTACTAAAGGACACCAATAATAAGAAGAGACCTGCTTGGGCCAAGAAACACGAGCAATGGACATTAGACTGGTGGAAATCTGTCCTTTGGTCTGGGTACAAATTGGAGATTTTTGGTTCCAACCGCCGTGTCTTTGTGAGACGCAATGTCTTTGTGAGACGCAATGTCCGCATGTGTAGTTCCCACCGTGAAGCATGGATGAGGAGGTGTTATGGTATGGGGGTGATTTGCTGGTGACACTGTCTGTGATTTATTTAGAATTCAAGGCACACTTAACCAGCATGGCTACCACGGCATTCTGCAGCGATACACCATCCCATCTGGTTTGGGCTTAGTGGGACTATCATTTGTTTTTCAACAGGACAATGATTCAACACACCTCCAGGCTGTGTAAGGACTATTTTACCAAGAAGGAGAGTGATGGAGTGCTGCATCAGATGACCTGGCCTCCACAATCCCCCGACCTTAACCCAATTGAGGTGGTTTGGGATGAGTCAGACCGCAGAGTGAAGGAAAAGCTGCCAACAAGTGCTCAGAATATGTGGGAACTCCTTCAAGACTGTTGGAAAAGCATTCCAGGTGAAGCTGGTTTTGAGAAGGCCAGGAGTGTGCAAAGCTGTCATCAAGGGAAAGGGTGGCTATTTGAAGAATCTCAAATATAAAATATATTTTGATTTGTTTAACACTTTTTTGGTTACTACATGATTCGATATGGGTTATTTCATAGTTTTGATGTCTTCATTATTATTCTACAATGTAGAAAATAGTAAAAATAAAGAAAAACCCTTGAATGAGTAGGTGTGTCCAAACTTTTGACTGGTACTGTATATATAAATATAGGACCAAACTCACATCACAACAAGAGAGACAACACAGCACTACATAAAGAGAGACCTAAAACAACAACATAACATGGCAGCAATACACGACAACACAGCAAGGTAGCAACCCAAAATGAAAACAACATGGTAGCAACTCTTAACCTGGGGCCTGGAGCAAATGTGAATTGTCCCCCATGGATATCACTGCCTCTGGTTTAAGAGATTATTGGAGAGCGGAGCATAAATCCACTGGAGATTATTTACCTTTGGATAATTGTGAAGCATTGTGGAGCAGTGTGCAGCAGAGGCTGCTTGTCCTCAAGGCTTTAATGGATCCTCAGTAATGCTGATTGATCAGAAATATGAGCTGATATTTTTAAACAGCACAGAGGGCTGCTGTTTTAATGCTCTCACTCCTTCCTCATTCATTTTTTATAATGTTTTTATTTTTATTTAACCTTTATTTAACCAGATAAGCCAGTTGAGAACAAGTTCTCATTTACAACTGCGACCTGGCCAAGATAAAGCAAAGCAGTGCGATAAAAACAACATCACAGAGTTACATATGGGGTAAACAAAACATAAAGTCAAAAATACAACAGAAAATATATATACAGCGTGTGCGAATGTAGTAAATTATGGAGGTAAGGCAATAAATAGGCCATAGTGCAAAATAGTTACAATTTCGTATTAACACTGGAATGATAGATGTGGAAAAGATGATGTGCAAATAGAGATACTGGGGTGCAAATTAGCAAAATAAATAACAATATGGGGATGAGGTAGTTGGATGGGCTAATTACAGATGGGCTGTGTACAGGTGCAGTGATCGGTAAGCTGCTCTGACCACTGACGCCTAAAGTTAGTGAGGGAGATAAGAGTCTCCAGCTTCAGAGATTTTTGCAGTTTGTTCCAGTCATTGGCAGCAGAGAACTGGAAGGAATGGCGGCCAAAGGAGGTGTTGGCTTTGGGGATGACCAGTGAGATATACCTGCTGGAGCGCATACTACGGGTGGGTGTTGCTATGGTGACCAGTGAGCTAAGATAAGACAGGGATTTGCCTAGCAGTGATTTATAGATGACCTGGAGCCAGTGGGTTTGGCGATGAATATGTAGTGAGGGCCAGCCAACAAGAGCGTACAGGTCACAATGGTGGGTAGTATATGGGGATTTGGTAACAAAACGGATTGCACTGTGATAGACTACATCCAATTTGCTGAGTAGAGTGTTGGAAGCTTTTTTGTAAATGACATCGCTGAAGTCAAGGATCGGTAGGATAGTCAGTTTTACGAGGGCATGTTTGGCAGCATGAGTGAAGGAGGCTTTGTTGCGAAATAGGAAGCCTATTCTAGATCTAACTTTTGATTGGAGATGCTTAATGTGAGTCTGGAAGAAGAGTTTACAGTCTAACCAGACACCTAGGTATTTGTAGTTGTCCACATACTCTAGGTCAGACCCGCCGAGAGTAGTGATTCTAGTTGGGTGGGACGGGTGCAAGCGGCGTTCGGTTGAAGAGCATGCATTTCGTTTTACTAGTGTTTAAGAGCAGTTGGAGGCTACGGAAGGAGTGCTGTATGGCATTGAAGCTCATTTGGAGGTTTGTTTTACACAGTGTCCAATGAAGGGCCAGATGTATACAAAATGGTGTCGTCCGCATAGAGGTGGATCCGAGCGTCACCACCAGCAAGAGCAACATCATTGATATACACAGAGAATAGAGTCGGCCCGAGAATTGAACCCTGTGGCACCCCCATAGAGACTGCCAGAGGTACAGACAACAGGCCCTCCGATTTTACACATTGAACTCTATCTGAGAAGTAGTTGGTGAACCAGGCGAGGCAGTCATTTGCGAAACCAAGGCTATTTAGTCTGCCAATAAGAATGCGGTGGTTGACAGAGTCGAAAGCCTTGGCCAGGTCGATGAAGACGGCTGCGCAGTACTGTCTTTTATCGATCGCGGTTATAATATCGTTTAGGACCTTGAGCGTGGCTGAGGTGCACCCATGACCAGCTCGGAAACCGGATTGCATAGCGGAGAAGGTACGGTGGGATTCGCAATGATCGGTGATCTGTTTGTTAACTTGGCTTGCAAAAACTTTAGAAAGGCAGGGCAGGATGGATATAGGTCTGTAACAGTTTGGATCTAGAGTGTCACCCCCTTTGAAGAGGGGGATGACCGCGGCAGCTTTCCAATCTCTGGGGATCTCAGATGTTACGAAAGAGAGGTTGAACAGGCAAGTAATAGGGGTTGCGACAATTTTGGCATCTACTTTTAGAAAGAAAGGGTCCAGATTGTCTAGCCCAGCTGATTTGTAGGGGTCCAGATTTTTCAGCTCTTTCAGAACATCAGCTGTCTGAATTTGTGTAAAGGAGAAGCAGGGGAGGGGCATGGGCAAGTTGCAGCGGAGGGTGCAGAGCTGGTGGCCGGGGTAGTGGTAGCCAGGTGGAAAGCATGGCCAGCCGTAGCAAAATGCTTGTTGAAATTCTTGATTATTGTAGATTTATCGGTGGTGATAGTGTTTCCTAGTGCAGTGGGCAGTTGGGAGGAGGTGCTCTTATTCTCCATGGACTTTACAGTGTCCCAAAACGTTTTGGAGTTAGTGCTACAGGATGCACATTTCTGTTTGAAAAAGCTAGCCTTTGCTTTCCTAACTGATTGTGTATATTGGTTCCTGACTTCCCTGAAAAGTTGCATATCGCGGGGGCTGTTCGATGCTAATGCAGTACGCCACAGGATGTTTTTGTGCTGGTCAAGGGCAGTCAAGGCTGAGGAGATCCAGGGGCTATATCTGTTCTTAGTTCTGAATTTTTTGAATGGGGCATGCTTAATTAAGATTGAGAGGAAAGCACTTTTAAAGAACAACCAGGCATCCTCTACTGACGGAATGAGGTCAATATCCATCCAGGATACCCGGGCCAGGTCAATTAGAAAGGCCTGCTCGCTAAAGTGTTTTAGGGAGCGTTTGACAGTGATGAGGGTTCTCATCAATGAGAGAGAGGAGGGCTCGCCCTAAATCTCTGGACAAATCCAGGATTTTCCAACAGGCCCAGATGATGCTTGACAAGGAGGACATGACTGTATGGCAGATGATACGAATAGTAGTTAATGAATCCAGAATGCTTGGTGAAGCTGCATCAGTGTCAGACTGATCAGCATGTCATTGGCTGGAAGGGACATTTTAATGACCTCAGCGTTCAAAACCTGATGATGTGGCATATTCCATTTTACACTGATCTGAGGCCAGTCTTTCTCTGTTAGACAAAGCCTGATGATGTGGCATATTCCATTTTACACTTATCTGAGGCCAGTCTTTCTCTGTTAGACAAAGCCTGATGATGTGGCATATTCCATGAAAAAAAAGTATATACACTGCTCAAAAAAATAAAGGGAACACTTAAACAACACAATGTAACTCCAAGTCAATCACACTTCTGTGAAATCAGACTGTCCACTTAGGAAGCAACACTGATTGTCAATACATTTCACATGCTGTTGTGCAAATGGAATAGACAACAGGTGGAAATTATAGGCAATTAGCAAGACACTCCCAATAAAGGACTGGTTTTGCAGGTGGTGACCACAGACCACTTCTCAGTTCCTATGCTTCCTGGCTGATGTTTTGGTCACTTTTGAATGCTGGCGGTGCTTTCACTCTAGTGGTAGCATGAGACGGAGTCTACAACCCACACAAGTGGCTCAGGTAGTGCAGCTCATCCAGGATGGCACATCAATGCGAGCTGTGGCAAGAAGGTTTGCTGTGTCTGTCAGCGTAGTGTCCAGAGCATGGAGGCGCTACCAGGAGACAGGCCAGTACATCAGGAGACGTGGAGGAGGCCGTAGGAGGGCAACAGCCCAGCAGCAGGACTGCTACCTCCGCCTTTGTGCAAGGAGGAGCAGGAGGAGCACTGCCAGAGCCCTGCAAAATGACCTCCAGCAGGCCACAAATGTGCATGTATCTGCTCAAACGGTCAGAAACAGACTCCATGAGGGTGGTATGAGGGCCCGACGTCCACAGGTGGGGGTTGTGCTTACAGCCCAACACCGTGCAGGACGTTTGGCATTTGCCAGAGAACACCAAGATTGGCAAATTCGCCACTGGCGCCCTGTGCTCTTCACAGATGAAAGCAGGTTCACACTGAGCACGTGTGACAGACGTGACAGAGTCTGGAGACGCCGTGGAGAACGTTCTGCTGCCTGCAACATCCTCCAGCATGACCGGTTTGGCGGTGGGTCAGTCATGGTGTGGGGTGGCATTTCTTTGGGGGGCCGCACAGCCCTCCATGTGCTCGCCAGAGGTAGCCTGACTGCCATTAGGTACCGAGATGAGATCCTCAGACCCCTTGTGAGACCATATGCTGGTGCGGTTGGCCCTGGGTTCCTCTTAATGCAAGACAATGCTAGACCTCATGTGGCTGGAGTGTGTCAGCAGTTCCTGCAAGAGGAAGGCATTGATGCTATGGACCGCCCGTTCCCCAGACCTGAATCCAATTGAGCACATCTGGGACATCATGTCTCGCTCCATCCACCAACGCCACGTTGCACCACAGACTGTCCAGGAGTTGGCGGATGCTTTAGTCCAGGTCTGGGAGGAGATCCCTCAGGAGACCATCCGCCACCTCATCAGGAGCATGCCCAGGCGTTGTAGGGAGGTCATACAGGCACGTGGAGGCCACACACACTACTGAGCCTCATTTTGACTTGTTTTAAGGACATTACATCAAAGTTGGATCAGCCTGTAGTGTGGTTTTCCACTTTAATTTTGAGGGTGACTCCAAATACAGACCTCCATGGGTTGATAAATTTGATTTCCATTGATAGTTTTTGTGTGATTTTGTTGTCAGCACATTCAACTATGTAAAGAAAAAAGTATTTAATAAGATTATTTCATTCATTCAGATCTAGGATGTGTTATTTTAGTGTTCCCTTAATTTTTTTGAGCAGTGTATATATATTATTTATTATTTTACCCCCTTTTTCTCCCTAATTTCATCATATCCAATTGGTAGTTATAGTCTTGTCCCATCGCTGCAACTCCCGTACGGACTCGGGAGAGGTGAAGGTCGAGAGCCATGCGTCCTCCGAAACACAACCCCGCCAAGCCGCACTGCTTCTTGATACAATGCATGCTTAACCCGGAAGCCAGCCGCACCAATGTGTTGGAGGAAACACCGTACACCTGGCGACCGTGTCAGCGTGCATGCGCCCGGCTCACCACAGGAGTCGCTAGAGCGCAATGGGACAAGGACAACCCGGCCGGCCAAACCGTCCCCTAACCCGGATGATGCTGGGCCAATTCTGCGTCGCCTCATGGGTCTCCCGGTCGCGGCCGGCTGCGACACAGCCCGGTATTGAACCAGGATCTGTAGTAACGCAGCCTGATGACCACTGCGCCACTCAGGAGGCCCCCGGCATATTCCATTTTACACTGATCTGAGGCCAGTCTTTCTCTGTTAGACACACTCTATTTCAGGGATATTAAACTCTTACCCTACGAGGTCTGCTGGTTTTCTGTCTTACCTAATAATTAATTGCACACACCTGGTGTCCCAGGTCTAAATCAGTCCCTGATTAGAGGGGAACAATTAAGAAATGCAGTGGAACTGGCTTCGAGGACCAGAGATGAGTTTGAGGGCTCTAGTCTATAACATGGTTAATTTGCTCACGGTTCATTTTAGGTTTATTTGCCTTCCACAGTACTATACCTTTAATAATAAATACGCTATAATAGTTCTAGCTACATTTAGCAGATTTCAGTAGCTGAATTTGTATGTGTGACCTCCCGCTTCCATTGAAATAACAGTGAAATATAAAATGTAACACAGATGTATAAAATATGCAACATGTCTCCCTATTGGTTTGCAGCAGTCATGTCACGAGCCCACGAGGGCCCAGGCGAGATGGGGAAGGCAGTGGTTATTGCAAAGGACGAGCAGGAGAAAATGAAGGAGCTCTTTAAGATTAACCAGTTCAATCTGATGGCCAGCGACATGATTGCTCTCAACAGGAGTCTGCCGGACGTGAGACTGGACGGGTGAGTGAGCTTGGCCTTTTCCCAGACACACACTGTGAATTACACTACTGACCTCTTTACTCGGCACACCACCCACTTTAACAACACTGTAACCTACCACCACTACTCCTCAGAAGCCCTAATACCTCCACTTCACTTGGCAACATGCTCCGGTTCTCAAAAGTTCTGACATTTTGAATCTACTTTCTGCCTTTTTCACTAGTTGTTGTTTTTAGTCTAGAAACTTCAGCTGAATTCACTGGAAACCGCACAACGCTGACAGCACAACGTTGAGAATTACAGCATGTTGTTTAATTTTAGGAGCAGCCTCAGGCGGATTATTAACAGCAATGAGAAGCAAAAGAGACTATCTACCAAATAACTAAGGTCCAACAGAACGTTTTTATATAGTTTGTAATAAACCAGTTTGTTAACTTTGATTAAAACACCCATTAGGACAGAATGAAAGGAGATCTTAAAGGCTTCACTCTGCGCCTCACCCCTTTCAAGTCCTCGGACTCCTCAGGGTTCATTCCATTATGTAACATACTCTAATTCAGTTGTTGCTGGTGAGGGGACGAGGGCTCATAGGAATGACTGGAGTGGAATAAATGGAGCGGCATCTAACTCATGGAAACCATGTGTTCGATGTTTTTCATACCATTCCATTCATTCGGTTCCAGCGATTACAATGAGGCTTTTACAGTGAGATTTTAAAGTGCCACCAGACACCACTGCTCTAATTGAAGAACATTAGACTTAAAGAGATTATTTGCTCGTGTTGGATCCATCACATTCTTCGGGTGTTTACATCAGCCGTGACGGTCTGAATGGGAGAAGGGCTTTGTTTAATGTCGCCCAAGACCAACTAGAGCTGGATAATGAAAACCCAAAGAGCAATTTGTGTGAAAATATCTTAAGCAGCTGATCTAGAGGCAGTCTTCTCGCCTGGAGACAACCCAGTGATTTCATGTTTATGTATTCCTACAGAACATTACTTATCAACTGTTCTTTAGAAAGTGCTCTGCACTGCAGTCCAATATATCTCCTGTTGGAGGAAAATAGGAACATTTTCAATACAACAATATAAAAAGTGATGCAGAGAATATACAGTAGCAGTCAAAAGTTTGGACACACCTACTCATTCAAGGGTTTTTCTTTATTTTTACAATTTTCTACATTGTAGAATAATAGTGAAGACATCAGAACTATGAAATAACCCATATGGAATCATGTAGTAACCAAAAAAGTGTTAAACAAATCAAAATATATTTTATAGCCACCCTTTGCCTTGATGACAGCTTTGCCTGGAATGCTTTTCCAGCAGTGTTGAAGGAGTTCCCACATACAGTGAGGGAACAAAGTATTTGATCCCCTGCTGATTTTGTACTTTTGCCCACTGACAAAGAAATTATCAGTCTATAATTTTAATGGTAGGTTTATTTGAACAGTGAGAGACAGAATAACAACAACAAAATCCAGAAAAACCCATGTCAAAAATGTTATAAATTGATTTGCATTTTAATGAGGGAAATAGGTATTTGACCCCCTCTCAATCAGAAAGATTTCTGGCTCCTAGGTGTCTTTTATACAGGTAACGAGCTGAGATTAGGAGCACACTCTTAAAGGGAGTGCTCCTAATCTCAGCTTGTTACCTGTATAAAAGACACCTGTCCACAGAAGCAATCAATCAATCAGATTCCAAACTCTCCACCATGGCCAAGACCAAAGAGCTCTCCAAGGATGTCAGGGACAAGATTGTAGACCTACACAAGGCTGGAATGGGCTACAAGACCATCGCCAAGGAGCTTGGTGAGAAGGTGACAGCAGTTGGTGCGATTATTCGCAAATGGAAGAAACACAAAATAACTGTCAATCTCCCTCGGCCTGGGGCTCCATGCAAGATCTCAACTCGTGGAGTTGCAATGATCATGAGAACGGTGAGGAATCAGCCCAGAACTACACAGGAGGAACTTGTCAATAGGAACATTGGGCGGCGCACAATTGGCCCAGCGTCGTCCAGGGTAGGGGAGGGAATGGCCGGCAGGCCTGTAGCTCAGTTGATAGAGCATGGCGTTTGCAACGCCAGGGTTGTGGGTTCGATTCCCACGGGGGGCCAGTATAAAAAAAAAAATATGTATTCACTAACTGTAAGTCGCTCTGGATAAGAGCGTCTGCTAAATGACTAAAATGTAAATGTAGAATGTCAATGATCTCAAGGCAGCTGCGACCATAGTCACCAAGAAAACAATTGGTAACACACTACGCCGTGAAGGACTGAAATCCTGCAGTGCCCGCAAGGTCCCCCTGCTCAAGAAAGCACATATACAGTCCCGTCTGAAGTTTGCCAATGAACATCTGAATGATTCAGAGGAGAACTGGGTGAAAGTGTTGTGGTCACTAACTGTAAGGCGCTCTGGATAAGAGCGTCTGCTAAATGACTAAAATGTAAATGTTAATGGTCAGATGAGACCAAAATCGAGCTCTTTGGCATCAACTCAACTCGCCGTGTTTGGAGTAGGAGGAATGCTGCCTATGACCCCAAGAACACCATCCCCACATTAAGGTCCTGAAGTGGCCTAGCCAGTCTCCAGAACTTAATCCCATAGAAAATCTGTGGAGGGAGCTGAAGGTTCGAGTTGCCAAACGTCAGCCTCGAAACCTTAATGACTTGGAGAAGATCTGCAAAGAGGAGTGGAACAAAATCCCTCCTGAGATGTGTGCAAACCTGGTGGCCAACTACAAGAAACGTCTGATCTCTGTGATTGCCAACAAGGGTTTTGCCACCAAGTACTAAGTCATGTTTTGCAGAGGGGTCAAATACTTATTTCCCTCATTAAAATGCAAATCAATTTCTAACATTTTTGACATGGGTTTTTCTGGATTTTGTTGTTGTTATTCTGTCTCTCACTGTTCAAATAAACCTACCATTAAAATTATAGACTGATCATATCTTTGTCAGCGGGCAAACTTACAAAATCAGCAGGGGATCAAATACTTTTTTCCCTCACTGTATGCTGAGCACTTGTTGGCTGCTTTTCCTTCACTCTGCGGTCCAACACATTGTGGAGGCCAGGTCATCTGATGCAGCACTTCATCACTCTCCTTCTTGGTCAAATAGCCCTTACACAGCCTGGAGGTGTGTTGGGTCATTGTCCTGTTGAAAAACAAATGATAGTCCCACTAAGTGCAAACCAGATGGGATGGCGTATTGCTGCAGAATGCTGTGGTAGCCATGCTGGTTAAGTGTGCCTTGAATTCTAAATAAATCACTGACAGTGTCACCAGCAAAGCACCCCCACAACATCACACCTCCTTCTCAATGCTTCACGGTGGGAACTACACATGTGGAGATCATCCGTTCACCTACTCTGCGTCTCACAAAGACACGGCGGTTGGAGCCAAAAATCTCAAATTTGGACTCATCAGACCAAAGGACAGATTTCCACCGGTCTAATGTCCATTGCTCGTGTATCTTGGCCCAAGCAAATCTCTTCTTAATGTTGGTGTCCTTTAGTAGTGGTTTCTTTGTAGCATTTTGACCATGAAGGCCTGATTCACGCAGTCTCCTCTGAACAGTTGATGTTGAAATGTGTCTGTTACTTGAACTCTGTGAAGCATTTATTTGGGCTGCAATTTCTGAGGCTGGTAACTCTAATGAACTAATCCTCTGCAGCAGAGGTAACTCTGGTTCTTCCATTCCTGTGGCGGTCCTCATGAGAGCCAGTTTCATCATAGCGCTTGATGGTTTTTGCGACTGCACTTGAAGAAACTTTCAATGTTCTTGACCTTCATGTCTTAAAGTAATGATAGACTGTGTCACGATCGTCAGGGAGAGACCAATGCGCAGCGTGATGAACGAACATGTTAACTTTATTATCTTTAGTGATAATAGAAACAATAAACAAAACAAGAAACGACTCGTGAAGTCCACGGTATCAATGACCGAACACGGAACAAGAACCCCCAAACACAAAGGGAAAACAGACAGTTTAAATATGGCTCCCAATCAGAGACAACCAGCCAACAGCTGACACTCGTTGCCTCTGATTGGGAGTCACTCAGGCAAACATAGAATAAAACAAACTAGAACCCCCAACATAGAAATAAACACATAGAATAAACACACCCTGGCTCAACAAATAGAGTCCCAGAGCCAGGGTGTGACAGTACCCCCCCCTAAAGGCGCGGACTGCGACCGCGCCTCAACTAAAGCAAAACAGGGGAGGGCTGGGCGGGCATACCTCCTCGGCGGCGGTTCTGGCTCCGGCCTTGACCACCACCCTCCAATAAACCCCCCATAGCGCCCCTGGTCCAGTCTGGCCCCGCTGGCTGGAGCTGAACTGGACGTAGCAGGAGCGGTTAGCTTCAGCTCCGTAGTGGAGCAGTTGACCGGTACCTTCCCAGGCACCGGTGACCCAGGCACGGGTTGTGCCGGACTGACGACGCGCACCCCTGTCCTGGTGCGTGGAGGAGGAACGGGCCTTACCAGGCTGACGACTCGCACCCCTGGCTTGGTGCGTGGAGGATGAACGGGCCTTACCAGGCTGACGACTCGCACCCCTGGCTTGGTGCGTGGAGGAGGGACGGGCCTTACCAGGCTGATGTCTCGCACCCCTGGCTTAGTGCGAGTGGCAGGAACAGGCCGGGCCGGGCTGGCGACGCGCACCGTAGACTTGGTGCGAGTGGCAGGAACAGGCCGGGCCGGGCTGGCGACGCGCACCGTAGACTTGGTGCGAGTGGCAGGAACAGGCCGGGCCGGGCTGGCGACGCGCACCGTAGACTTGGTGCGAGTGGCAGGAACAGGCCGGGCCGGGCTGGCGACGCGCACCGTAGACTTGGTGCGTGGAGCAGGGACAGGCCGGACTGGGCTGGCGACGCACACCGTAGGCTTGGTGCGTGGAGCAGGGACAGGCCGGACTGGGCTGGCGACGCACACCGTAGGCTTGGTGCGTGGAGCAGGGACAGGCCGGACTGGGCTGGCGACGCACACCGTAGGCTTGGTGCGAGGAGCAGGAACAGGCCGAACCGGGCTGTGGAGACGGATAGGAGACCTGGAGTGAAGAGCGGCCACAACCCGTCCTGGCTGAATGCCTACCCTCACACACTCTGTGTGAGGCATCCGCACAGGACGTACAGGGCGGTGTACCCGTAACCTGGTGGCCTTCTGAATCCGCCCCTTTTCTGCCTCCGTCAGCCCCGTCGTCCATGCCGTGTGCCCCCCCCTAAAAATTTTCTGGGGTTGCCTCTCGCCTGTCCGACGTTGACCCGTTTGGCGCCACTGCTCCTCTCTACGGCGCGCCTCCACCGTCTCTTCCCACGGACGCCGATCCATCCCGGCCTGTATCTCCTTCCAAGTCCAGGATCCTTTCCCGTCCAATATCTCCTCCCATGTCCAGGCTGCCTGCTCCTGGACACGCTGCTTGGTCCTTGTATGGTGGGTTTTTCTGTCACGATCGTCAGGGAGAGACCAATGCGCAGCGTGATGAACGAACATGTTAACTTTATTATCTTTAGTGATAATAGAAACAATAAACAAAACAAGAAACGACTCGTGAAGTCCACGGTATCAATGACCGAACACGGAACAAGAACCCCCAAACACAAAGGGAAAACAGACAGTTTAAATATGGCTCCCAATCAGAGACAACCAGCCAACAGCTGACACTCGTTGCCTCTGATTGGGAGTCACTCAGGCAAACATAGAATAAAACAAACTAGAACCCCCAACATAGACATATAACACATAGAATAAACACACCCTGGCTCAACAAATAGAGTCCCAGAGCCAGGGTGTGACAGACTGTCGTTTCTCTTTGCTTATTTGAGATGTTCTTGGCATAATATGGACTTGGTCTATCTTCTGTATACCACCCCTGCCTTGTCACAACACAACTGATTGGCTCAAACGCATTAGGTAGGAAAGAAATTCCACAAATTAACTTTTAAGAAGGCACACCTGTTAAATTTTATGCATTCCAGGTGACTACTTCATGAAGCTGGTTTAGAGAATGCCAAGAGTGTGCAAAGCTGTCATCAAGGCAAAGGGTGGCTACTTTCAAGAATCTCAAATATAAAATACAATTTCATTTGTTTAACACTTTTTGGGGTACTACATGATTGCATATGTGTTATTTCATAGTTTTGATGTCTTCACTATTATTCTACAATGTAGAAAATGGTAAAAAATAAAGAAAAACCCTTGATTGAGTATGTGTGTCCAAACTTTTGACTGGTACTGTAAGCATATGCCAATGCTGTAAACATTGTCTATATTGTTTATATATTGAATATACATTGGTACCTACTGCCTTGAAACTCAATTGTATGACTGTCCCCCATGGGGCTTACATTACTATAACATTTTATATGAAAAGTTATCACAAAAAGGAACATTTTCAATATATGTGAACACTGCATGCACTCCATTTCACACATGTACCAGGATTGTGCATAGTTTAATGCTTGTAGATTTAGCTAATTATGAATTCCACTTGAATGAACTAGTCATATAGTATATTGAAGAATTTGTACAAAATGGAGAGCAAACAAACAGTAAATCTAAATTGTGATCTATTGATTTTATTTCACCCCTAGAGAGTGCAAAGCTGCATAATCATACTAATTGCATCTCTATATTTTCCTCAGTACACCTTGGAACGTTATTAAAGAAATAAGCTTTGCTTTGCAAGACTGTGAGAGAGAGATATTGTTGTGTGGTGTAGTAGCCAGTGGTTGAAACAAATAAGATGATCGCTCAGTGGCTAGTAGCTAGCTACCCTGGTGCTCCCATTCTGTCAGTCTGTCCTGTCACCCGTAGTGGGGTGAATGGGATAACCCTACTGTCTGCTCCACTCACCTGTCGCCTCCTGTCACCTCCCACTTCCACCCCGGCTGCCTCCTCTCTATCTCTAATGCACCATCCTCATACTTTATTTAACATTACAATCTACACTACATGACAGGCTTCCCCTGCCCTTGGTCTGTATCTCTGGGAGTATGTGACTACGTCCCAAATGGCACCCTATTTCCTGCAGTGCCTTCAGAAAGTATTCATACCCTTTGACTTATTCCACATTTTGTTGTGTTACAGCCTGAATTCAACATTGTTCTCAACTATCTACAAGCAATACCCCATACCCCAGGGCGGCAGGTAGCTTAGTGGGTAAGAGCGTTGTGCCAGTAACCGAAAGGTCGCTGGTTCTAATCCCCGAGCCGACTAGGTGAAAAATCTGTCGATGTGCCCTTGAGCAAGGCACTTAACCCTAATTGCTCCTGTAAGTCGCTCTGGATAAGAGCGTCTGCTAAATGACTAAAATGTAAAATGTAAATGTAATAATGACAAAGTGAAAACATGTTATTAGATTTTTCAGAATTTAAAATGAAATACAGAAATATCTAATTTAGTCAATACTTTGTACAAGCACCTTTGGCAGTCTTTCTGGGTAAGTCTCTAAGAGCTTTCCACACCTGGATTGTACAACATTTGCCCATTATTCTTCAAGTTCTGTGAAATTGGTTGTTGATCTTTGCTAGACAACCATTTTCAGATCTTGCCATAGATTTTCAAGTAGATTTAAGTCAAAACTGTAACTTGGCCCCTTGGGAACATTCACTGTCTTCTTGGTAAGCAACTCCAGTGTAGATTTGGCCTTGTGTTTTAGGTTATTGTCCTGCTGAAAGGTGAATTAATCTCACAGTGTCTGGTGGAAAGCAGACTGAACCAGGTTTTCATCTAGGATTTTGCCTGTGATAGCACCATTCAGTTTATTTTTTTTATCCAGAAAAACTCCCTAGTCCTTAACGATTACAAGCATACCCATAACATGATGCAGCCACCACTATGCTTGAAAATATGGAGAGTGGTACTGGATTTTCCCCAAACATAACACTTTGTATTCAAGACAAAAAGTTAATTGCTTTGCTACATGTTTTGCAGTACTACTTGAGTGTCTTGATGCATGTTTTGGAATATCAATTAGGTTAGTATTATGGAGTAACTACAATGTTGTTGATCCGTCCTCAGTTTTCTCCTATCACAGCCATTAAACTCTGTAACTGTTTTAAAGTCACCATTGGCCTCATGTTGAAATCCCTGAGCGGGTTCCTTTTTTAGATTTTACCCATCTACCAGTAAGTGCCCTTCTTTGTGAGGCATTGGAAAACCTCCCCGGTCTTTGTGGTTGAATCTGTGTTTGAAATTCACTGCTCGACTGAGGGACCTTACAGATAATTGTATGTGTGGGGTACAGAGATGAGGTAGTCATTCAAAAATCATGTTCAACTCTATTATTGCACACAAAATGAGTCCATGCAACTTATTATGTGACTTGTTAAGCACATTTTTTCTCCTGAACTTATTTAGGCTTGCCATAAAAAAGGGGTTGAATACTTATTGACTAAAGGCATTTCAGCTTTTCATTTTTAATTAATTAGTAAAAATTTCAAAAAACATCATTCCACTTTGACATTATGGGGTATTATGTGTATGTCAGTTTTTTTTAAAGTTCAATGTAATCCGTTTTAAATTCAGGCTGTAACACAACAAAATGTGGAAAAAGTGAAGGGGTGTGAATACATTCTGAAGGCACTGTATATGGGCCTTGGTCAAAAGTAGTGCTCTATATAAGGAATAAGGTGCCATTTGGGACACAGCCTGTGGAGCAGCATGCCATTTAGCACAGCACAGTGTTTCCCCTATATACATGTCATTTCTAGACGCGCTTTTAAATGGATTGTCATTTAATCAATGACTGGAAAACTATGGGAAAACCTAGCATGTCGTTGTGCTAACGTCTAGTAGCAATGCACCCCCCTCTACCCTTGCCACCACTGCTAGGGGAAACACTAGGGGAAACACTGGCACAGCGTATACTCAGTCTTGTCAACTTTGGCTTTGTTTGAAAGCAGTTAATTTTGTTACAATGCTCTGAGGTAAATTTCAGCCACAAATTGTACACCCACAAGCATGTCACACAACTATGCTCACTGTTGATAGAACTCTACTGTAGACAAGCATCAGGAGTAGCAGCACATTTTGATCTCTCAACCAGAACTCTTGTTGTCTGTCCATTAGTTGCAAGACGAAGGTGTATTCGGATGATCTCCCCAACACAAGTATAGTGATCGTGTTCCACAACGAGGCGTGGAGCACCCTGCTCCGCACTGTCCACAGTGTCATCAACCGCTCGCCACGGCACCTGCTGCAGGAGATCCTACTGGTGGACGACGCCAGCGAGAGAGGTACTGTAGCTGGGTCCAGCCTAAACCTAAACCATCAACTAACTAGCTTCACTGGGTTTAAAGGGGCACTCTGGGATTAATACATGCAGTTCTTAGTATTGGGTGATAATATCTACCACATTAAAGTTTGAAAGACAATCGGCCCTTGATAACTGTGAATTAATAGGAAAAACAACACTGCATAATGAAGTTCTATGGGAGTTTGAAACATGTCTGTTTAACCATGCAATTCTTAGTATTGAAGGATAATAATATACCACATTTGAAAGGAAATCGGCCCGTGTCTTGATAACTGTGAATGAACGCGGAAAAACACCAAAAAATTAAGTTATTTCGCCGTTTGAAACATGTCCTCTCTGATGTGTCCTCTTCTGTCAGACTTCTTGGGAAAGAAGCTGGAGAACTATGCTCGGACCCTGGAGGTTTCTGTGCGGGTCCTGCGGATGGAGCAGCGAACGGGGCTGATCCGGGCCAGGCTGAGGGGGGCAGCTGCCACACGGGGACAGGTTATCACCTTCCTGGACGCCCACTGTGAATGCACCGTGGGCTGGCTGGAGCCTCTGCTGGCCAGGATCAAAGAGGACCGGTAAGGAGATTCACCATCACCCCTCTCAATGTAAATGGAACACACAGCACTGGATAGACATGGGTGGTGCTGATGCTCATAGCAAATCATCTCCTCTCTGTTCTCTTCCTGTTGCCTCATTGAGATGCTAACTCATTAGCATTCCGCTTGTCTTCTGTGTCATCTGAAAACCGATCTGATGTTAATGGTAGACACTATCTCGACTTTATAGCAGACAACGACACCAATGCCCGTGACAGCTGTTGTGCCTCTTTTCAAAGGCAGCCATAGCTGAGTGGCAGCTTGTTTTGTCATGATGCTGTCTGTCACTTCTTTATACCGTAGTAGATACAGTTGAATGTGATTGCACTGAATCTGTTGATGATGGCTATTTTAAGTGACAGCATGGCTTAAAACCTATTATTTGGAATCTGTGGTTATTTTAATAAAGTAATAGTGTGGTAATTCTAATCCTGTTTCAGGATTGCACTTGCATGTTCGGTGGGTGAAGGGTTCCTTCTACATAAAAGGGAGAAAATGTAGATGGACTGAAAATTAATTTGCCCCTCCTTGTAACTCTCTTATCTGGTGTCAGACATTTACCCATTTTGCCTCAGGTGCCAGGCAGAAATTAGTTTTGTATTACAGAGGAGATTATATTATAGAGCCATTATACTTTTATGACCCTGCACGTTTATTGATGTGTAAAAGTATGTGCAGGAGCATAAAAGTGCACAAAGACTGATTAGATTTAGACCAGGAAGTGAAGTGGATGCTGAGTGAAGGGGATTGTTGAATGAATTCCCTGCAGCACATAGAGCTTGAGTCCCAAATGGCACCCTATTCCCTACGCAGTACACTGGCTTTGACCAGGGCATTTCCTTACATAGTGCACTACTTTTGACCAGAGCCCTGGTCAAAAGTAGTGCACTAGGGAATAGGGTGCCATTTGAGATGCAGCCTTAGGGTTACCTTCAGCTTTACTATAAAACTCCTACTGAAGAAAACAGTCTGAGCCCATATATCCATATACTGTATTGTCATTGTCAACATAATCTACATGCATATAATCCATTATGTTTCCTCCGGTCAGTGTTGTTATGCTAATAGATATGTTTATAATGAGTATGGACCAGCCGATGATTTACTAATATTGAAATAATCTCATAATGAAGCTGGGGATAATGCCACCGCTATAGAAATGCATGGTCAGCAGTTAGCTATTTTCATCTCTCACGGCGCTCACCTGAAGAATGAACAGTTATGGCACCATTAGTTTAGTAAATTATGATTCATTTATTATTTATTTTGTTGATGAATTAATGCTGTTGGCTCTGCCAGCCAAGCAGTTTAATATAACCAGACATGGAATATTATTATCGGAAATAACACACATTTTTGGGGTTTAAGGGAAGAAAGTAAATTAATTGTAGAGACTGCATCACAGTTCTACAAAGTAATTTTTTTAGGGCTTTCTTTCACTATTTCCTGTAAAACTAATGCTTTCGATTCCTCCATGGTTGTTTAGGCTCTCTCTGTATTTCTTGTCAAATGAATGCCTTATATTTCTTTCCATGGTTGTTTAGGAGATCTGTGGTGTGTCCTATAATCGATGTGATCAGCGACGAGACGTTTGAATACATGGCAGGCTCAGACATGACCTACGGAGGATTCAACTGGAAGCTGAATTTCCGTTGGTACCCCGTGCCTCAGAGAGAAATGGACAGGCGCAAAGGGGACAGGACATTACCTCTCAGGTACACACAAGACACATACTGTACATGCCTTTATCTGTGCCCGAGTTGAAAAGAGTTTATTTGGCACCCTATTCATTTTATAGTGCCCTACTTTTGTAAAAAATAGTGCACTATAAAGCAGGGGTGCTCAACTCTTACCATACGAGGTCCGGAGCCTGCTGGTTTTCTGTTCTACCTGATAATTAATTGCACACACCTGGTGTCCCAGATCTAAATCAGTCCCTGATTAGAGGGGAACAATGAAAAAATGCAGTGGAACTGGCTTGGAGGTCCAGAGTTGAGTTTGAGGGCTATAAAGGGAATAGGGTACCATTTGGGATGCATACTTTGTTATCACTGTGCAGTGCTGTCAAGCCAGGGGCTGGTGAGTCAGAGGCAGCAGGGGGAGGACTGTAACATTAAAGAACAGTTTACTGAAAAGACTCATAAGACAACAAATGTTAGCTCTAGCTTTCTCATTTCAGCTGAGAATAGGTTGTTTGTAGTGCTGGGAAGTTGCAGAGCTGACATCATTGGTGTGGATTTCTTTAGAAGCGCTCTTCTCCGATAGCTGTCAAAGCTGTCATCATTTAGAGATAGCAATAGATTGGATATCTGTATTATACTGGCCTAGCTGCGAGGCAATTTTTTATGGTTTGTTATTTGATACAGTAGTTGTAGTTTCATGGTGTAGCTTGTTTCATTTTGGAATACAAAGAAATACTAAAGAAGGACTTGCATCAATGGAGCTGGTGCTGCAAAAATATTGACAAAGTTCTCCATCAATTATATTTTATTGGACAGAGCAACAACATGGTATTATGATGGTGTCACTCAATGCTTCATAAATCAGATTTTCATTATCTTAAAAGAAGATAATCATCTCCAAGACCTAGCTGTGTCTGTTTGCTTCTCTTTGCAGAATGGAAACGGCAGAGAGTGGATCAAAGAATGAAATAGTCATTTTTGCACTGAGATTGTCAGTCTAGGTCAGGTTTTTATTGTGTGAAATAGTAGTGTCCAAAGTGCTAATTTGTTTGATGAAGAGCTAGGCGATTAATCATATATTGCTGTCTTATTTCCGAAGCAAATAAAAGCAGAGATTCTGCCCCCAGACATTGAGCAATATTGTTCAGCAATATTACTGTATGATATTGATTATTTGTAAGCTGATCTGTTTCTCACTTTGTAAGAAAGGTGTCTCTTGTAAAATGTATTTCTTTATCCACTCTCATTGTTTTTCTCTTACAGAACCCCTACTATGGCTGGAGGGTTATTCTCTATTGACCGGACATATTTTGAAGAAATAGGAACATATGATCCAGGGATGGACATTTGGGGTGGAGAGAACTTGGAGATGTCTTTCAGGGTGAGTGGTTAAGAATAGAGGGCTCTGCTGGGTTATTATGACAATGATTGTGTGTGTGTGTGTGTGCGCGCGTGTGTACTTGCATGCATTTGTGTATGTGTGTGTGACCACTTGTGTGTGTGTGACCACTTGTGTGTGCAGATCTGGCAGTGTGGCGGCTCGCTGGAGATTATAACATGTTCCCACGTGGGTCATGTGTTCCGGAAGGCCACCCCATACAGCTTCCCTGGGGGAACGGGCCAAGTCATCAACAAGAACAACAGGCGATTGGCTGAGGTGTGGATGGACGGCTTCAAAGACTTCTTCTACATCATATCACCAGGTATGCTACCACGCTTCCATTTTAACCTGTTGTCTCTCAGCGGGTGGGAATGCATATGGAGTGGGAATGCAAACCTGGGTTCAAATACTATTTGAAATCATTTAAAATAAGCTGGGATTGATGGACCCACTGGGCACAGACGTCAATTCAACGTCAATTTCATGTTGGTTCAACGTCATTTCATGACATGACGTGGAAACAACGTTGATTCAACCAGTGTGTGCCCAGTGGGGAGTTTCCTGGCGCAATGGAACCAATAGAATTATAGGAAAACGTCAAACCCCGCCCACCTGGCACTCCAGGCAGACTAAAGCAAACTTTAAAGCGTTGTAAAATATTTCAAATACTAGTTAAACTCAGGTCTGATGGAGTGGCAATGCATATGGTCTCAGTGTAAATCGCTGAGCTCTGAGCAAGTACTTTAAGGTGAAATCAGCCTCTAGCTATCATTTTGGGTATAGACTGGTTGGTTGTTTAGCAACAAAATCGACTGGTGAGCAACTATGGGGCAAAACAGACTGGGTTGGCTAAGATTGTTGACATGTAAACTCCCAGCTAGCACATAACGTTCTGAGAACCATATGTTTCTTAGAGTTTGGTGAGAGTGTGGTTGTCCTATGGTTATTTTGCATACAACCTTCCCACAACGTTCTGCGTATGGTGCAGGATGCCCAGCTCAATGACGCCATGACACAAGAAAATATTAATGTGTTTGGATGATTAATGCCTAAGCAAATTAATTTCCATGTGTCCTATGTGTGCTTGGAGTTCACAGTTAACCTAAGCTAGCAGTGTTATTAAAAGTCTAATTGAAACATGTTCTCAGAACGTTATTTAATTACCTTCAAATAACCTTTAATTTCCTGTCTTATAATGTTAATAAAACCTCCCAGGAAAACTTTCAGGGAACCATAGTAAAACTTTTTCTGCAACCTAAAAATTCACGTTCCCAGAACAGGTGAAATGTTCACTTCCGTTCTCAGAACAATTAAAAAACGTTCAGTTTTACTAGTCAGGAAACACGTCTTCGTTCCCAAAACCAATGGGAAACTAAAAACGTACAGTACGTTCCCACAACTTCCAAGGAACCAAATGTGATAGCTGGGCTATATTTAGTCTCAATGTTTATTGAAAACATAAATACATTTGCACAATGAGCGCTTGTTGTCTCTCATGCATTGTTACAGTTGTTGGTTAGCTAGCTAGAGAATTTTAGCCATACAGTGGCTTGCGAAAGTATTCACCCCCCTTGGCATTTTTCCTATTTTGTTGCCTTACAACCTGGAATTAAAATCGATTTTTGGGGGTTTTGTATCATTTGATTTACACAACATGCCTACCACTTTGAAGATGCGAAATATTTTTTTTTGTAAAACAAACAAGAAATAAGACAAAAAAAAACAGAAAAATTGAGCGTGCATAACTATTCACCAATCCCCCCCCCCCCCCCCCCAAAGTCAATACTTTGTAAAGCCACTTATTGCAGCAATTACAGTATCAAGTCTCTTCGGGGTATGTCTCTATAAGCTTGGCACATCTAGCCACTGGGATTTTTGCCCATTCTTCAAGGCAAAACTGCTCCAGCTCCTTCAAGTTGGATGGGTTCCGCTAGTGTACAGCAATCTTTTAAGTCATACCACAGATTCTCAATTGGATTGAGGTCTGGGCTTTGACTAGACCATTCCAAGACATTTAAATGTTTCCCCTTAAACCACTCGAGTGTTGCTTTAGCAGTACGCTTAGGGTCATTGTCCTGCTGGAAGGTGAACCTCCGTCCCAGCCTATAATCTCTGGAACACTGAAACAGGTTTCCCTCAAGAATTTCCCTGTATTTAGCGCCATCCATCATTCCTTCAATTCTGACCAGTTTCCCAGTCCCTGCCAATGAAAAACATCCCCACAGCATGATGCTGCCACCACCATGCTTCACTGTGGGGATGGTGTTCTCTGGGTGATGAGAGGTGTTGGGTTTGCGCCAGACATAGCGTTTTCCTTGATGGCCAAAAAGCTCAATTTTAGTCTCATCTGACCAGAGCACCTTCTTCCATATGTTTGGGGAGTCTCCCACATGCCTTTTGGCGAACACCAAACGTGTTTGCTTATTTTTTTCTTTAAGCAATGACTTTTTTCTGGCCACTCTTCCGTAAAGCCCAGCTCTGTGGAGTGTACGGCTTAAAGTGATCCTATGGACAGATACTCCAATCTCTGCTGTGGAGCTTTGCAGCGTCATCAGGGTTATCTTTGATCTCTTTGTTGCCTCTCTGAATATTGCCCTCCTTGCCTGGATGCGTGAGTTCTGGTGGGCGGCCCTCTCTTGGCAGGTTTGTTGTGGTGCCATATTCTTTCCACTTTTTAATAATGGATTTAATCGTGCTCTGTGGGATGTTCAAACAACTTTGTCCCTGACCTGTTTGGAGAGCTCCTTGGTATTCATGGTGCCGCTTGCTTGGTGGTGCCCCTTGCTTAGTGGTGTTGCAGACACTGGGGCCTTTCAGAACAGGTGTATATATACTGGATCATGTGACAGATCATGTGACACCTAGATTGCACACAGGTGGACTTTATTGAACTAATTATGTGACTTCTGAAGGTAATTGGTTGCACCAGATCTTATTTAAGGGCTTCATAGCAAAGGGGGTGAATACATATGCACGCACCACTTTTCCGTTAATTATTTGTTCGAATAACAAGTTCTTTTTTTCATTTCACTTCATCAATTTTGACTATTTTGTGTATGTCCATTACATGAAATCCAAATAAAAATCAATTTAAATTACAAGTTGTAATGCAACAAAGTAGGAAAAACGCCAAGGGGGATTAATACTTTTGCAAGGCACTGTATCACATATAGGAATATCCTCCAGATTTTTAATTCCACAGTCAATTCCTCATTACTGTACTGTATGCCATGAGCTCTGTAACTAGAGTATATGTAACAAAATAGTTTGAAAGGGAAGCAACCTGTACTGTATCTTGCTATATTTGACCTCCCTACTCTGGCTCATGTTGCTTCTCCTCATGGTCTCACTGAGTCTCAAGTACAGTATGTCTTTGCTCTACTGTTCCTTGCAATAGTCTTCCATTAAGTTTTATGCTGCTCTTGACATGCCAAACAAGGCAGGGCATTGTCCTATGTTCAACTGCATTTCTCCACACTTTCTCTGATCTTTTATTCATTGGAAAGCACTGTACTAAGTATCTTTCAAGATGTTCGACTGAAGATTTCCTGAAATTGCGTTCACATATTCATGGGAGACGTTGCTGTTCATGATCTCATGGGAAGCTCAAACAATGTTGTCACCACAGCCTAGCGACGCAATAGGATTGGCAAGAGATTGGCAGCTGAGTATCCAAGTAATGTTGGAGCCAAGTTATGAGATTAGATTTATGCAGTGCCTCGCCATTATCTAGTTACATTTTGCATGAAAGGCACCCTTTCCAAGTTTCCAGAATGCTCTTTAGTCTGTCTTCTGAGGAATAGGGGTGGGGGCCCAGTACCCTAAGTGATTCCTGAAAAAGCATACTCGCAGTATCCTCTGAAGGCTGCAGGCAGGCAGCAGAGAGAGAGAGAGAGAGACAGTACTGGGGCTGTGATAGATGAGCCTCCCTGTCTAATTTAGCCCGGTTGGCATTGAGTGTCTGCTCCTCCAGGATATTACAGGGGATGATCAGGTCAGCTCCACTGTTAGGGCGTGTCCCAAATGGCACCCTATTCCCTTTATCAGGAGTGGGCAAACGTTTTTTGCTTGCAGGACAGAAAAAGGGCAGTTATTTGAAAATATATAGGTCCATTATCATTTCTACATAATTTCTATCTGTTCTGAACAAAAATGTAAACGCAAAATGCCAAAATGTCAACGATTTTGCTGAGTTACAGTTCATATAAGGAAATTGAAATAAATTCATTAGGCCCTAATCTATGGATTTCACATGACTGTGCAGGGTCGCAGCCATGGGTGGGCCTGGTAAGTCATAGGCTCACCCACTGGGGAGCCAGGCCCAGCCAATCAGACTGAGTTTTTCTCCACGAAAGGGCTTTTATACAGCCAGAAATACTTCTCAGTTTCATCAGCTGTCCGGGTGGCTGGTCTCAGACGATCCCGTAGGTGAAGAAGCCGGATGTGGAGGTCCTGGGCTGGTGTGGTTACACGTGGTCTGCGGTTGTGAGGCCGGTTGGACATATTGCCAAATTCTGTAAAACGATTTATGGTAGAGAAATGAACATTACATTCGCTGGCAACAGCTCTGGTGGACACTCCTGCAGTCAACATGCCAATTGCACGCTGCTTCAAAACTTGAGACATCTGTGACAAAACTGCACAGTGGCCTTTTACTGACTCCAGCACAAGGTGCACCTGTGTAATGATCATGCTGTTTAATCAGCTTCTTGATATTCCACACCTGTCAAGTGGATGGATTATTTTGAAATAAGCTTTTTGTGCGTATAGAACATTTCTGGGATCTTTTATTTCAGCTCATGAAACATGGGACTTTACACTTTGCATGTTGCGTTTATATTTTTGTTCAGTGTATTTTTAGATGTTCAAGTGTGGCCTGGAGTGTTTTTTTTTACCCAAAATAATATTTTTGCTTTTTTTCACTCCTGCCGGTCGGATTGAATGGGCTTGCGGGCTCTTCTCTCACCGATGGTTATGCTGAAAACAAAACCAATGTTAGCACTTTCTCTTTAATAACCCTTTTTTGCAATGGGCTAATAAAGGGACAAGCAGGATGTGTTTTGGAAGTCTTAAATTGGGTGTGATACAATAATCTGGCACTGATTATTTGACTTTGTTGATAAAATTATGAGTCATTCTACAATAATTCACATTCCTCTATGGATGATACTTTTTGCAAAACATCAAACATAACCTTGACAATTGAAGTGCAGGGCTTTTGATTATCTAGACTATTGTCAGCCACTGAACATGTAATGATGGAGAGAGTCCCTCTAGTGTACAGCTTTGGCGTTGCAGCCACAGCTGCCACACCCACCAACCGAAAGGGTGTTGCTTGTAAGCAGTAAGGGTTCTTGTTGTCTTTTGCTGATATTTCAATGCATGTGTCTCTGTACTTGAACCAGGTGCTGTACGTATCAAGCATCTCAAAGTAGAAGTGCTGATCTAGGATCAGGTCTCCTCTGTCCATTCATTATAATCTAAAAATCTGCAGCACTACCAGTCTGACATGCTCGATACATATGGCCCCTGGTCTTGGTTTGTGTTGCAGGTGTGGCCCGGGTGGACTATGGAGATGTGTCCTCTCGTAAGACCCTGCGTGAAGCTCTGCAGTGTAAACCCTTCTCCTGGTACCTGGAGAACGTCTACCCCGACTCTCAGATCCCCAGGAGATACTACTCACTTGGTGAAGTATGAAGTCTTTCAGATACTGCAGCCCAATGCACCTCTCATGACCCTGGATAAATCCCAAATGGCACCCTATTCCCTATACAGTGTACTACTTTTAACATGGGCCATAGGGAATAGGGTGTCATTTGCAACGCAGATCATGTGTTTGATATCAAAAGTGAGTCAGAAGACCTGGATATTCCAACCATTGAAACTCGACGATAAATAACCTAATGTGTTTAGTTGTGGTTTCAAACCCAAGCACAGGATAGAGTTGGCTAACAACATTCTAGATAACAGGTTAGCACCAGGCAAAGAGGGGAATGGTCTTGATAACATACAGTATGCCAATAAAAAAGGGAGGCCATGATTGATAGAGAGCATGTAAAATAATGTGACTGGTTGGGAGTTTGGAGAGATGAGGTTGTAATCCCCAAGTTGAATTCTGCTGAGGCTTCAGGATTTTACAGCCTACATCCAATGTACTGCAGTAAAAGCTGTCTATGGCATGGAACTACAGCAGCAGCAGCAGCACCCTCAGTCTTCCCTTCCCCTCTCCTGCCCTCCCGCCGTCAGCTCCATGATTGACTCACTCCGTAGCACACGTCCCACTTTTAACAGCCCTAGTCATTAGCTTTTATATCATTTAATTAGGAACGATACCATTCCTGCATAGTAAGCAGGTTATACAACACCTAGCATATAGAGCATGCCCAGCCTCTATGAGTATGTTAGTTAGATATTAGATGGCTCATTAAATAATAATTTGGGGTGGGAACTTGCGGTAATACTTAGATCACCACAGATCTGATTTATGCAGCCATTTGCGTTGCTAAGCACGGTCCCTAATTATGACTTACATCACTGGTGAAATATAGGTAATGAGTTTAGATTGCTTGTTTTATTGAACAGTAAATATTTAATTAGATTTGACATCTGGGCCACAGAGACAAGAAGCAGGGGCTTTTAATTTTGTCACCTGGAAATTAAGTGCCAGTGTTTGATGAGAGGGACGCCATTTCTTCTTCCTCTATAAGCAGTGGCTTTTGTTAGCTGTAAATATTCCAGGGTGGATGGAAGGATGGTAATTATGAATCCAATGTTTTTTTTACTCCTTTCTACCCCTAGATCAGAAATGTTGAAACAAACCAGTGTGTGGACAACATGGGTAGAAAGGAAAACGAGAAAGTTGGCTTCTTCAACTGCCATGGCATGGGTGGGAATCAGGTAAGGAGACCGCAGAAAGAGGAGAGAGCTATAGAGTTAGTCTTGCAAAATACCTTTCCCAAAGTTCCTAGGTTTTCCAGAAATCCCAATTGGAAGATTCACTGAATCAGGAGGGAATTAGCAGGAAATCCACAATCCTCAAGCAAGGATTTCTAGAAAACCTCAGAATTGTGGAAAGTTACCAGAATTAGTCCTGTCTGAATCTGCCATGTCAGTAATTTATGCTTGTTAGGAAGGTTATTATCCCAGCCCTAAAAACCTACTGTTGTCTGGCAAACTCCCAGGTCCTCTGATAATACTTATCCCGTGCAAATCGTCATCCCTGTGTTTTGAGGGATATTACAGAGTTTAACAGGTGCTGCACCCAGTTTGGGTAAGAACATGGGAACAAATTGATGCTTAAAACAAAATGCTATGCACGTAGCCTACAGACAAATGATCTGTTTTGTCACATATCAACGTTCCAGTGCCATACTTCTCTTTAAAAGATGAAGTGGATGATATTGTGCCAGTGAAGTGATAAATTGCCAAATACGTCAGGCAATTAAAATGTCTGCATAGGTTAGAGTTCAGGGTTCTTATTGACATGCATTATTATTTTGATTTTCACCGAACTGAAGGCCATTAGGCCAATATTAGGCTATCCCTAGACATTTGAAATATCTTCACGCCTAAAAGAGCCTCCAGGATTCTGTCATAACGGTCAATTTTGAATGAGGAAAAAAAAAAAAAAAAAACAGGGGCAGTTTGGTAAAACTAATCCTGTCCGAATCGTCCACTGGAAAAACGGATATGCTGTTGTAATAATTATCAGAACCAACCTTCTATAGTAATACTAGCCCAGTGCGAATAGGGCTTAGGAGAGAGACTAGTAGGTATATGACCGTCTCGTTTTCTCTGCCAGGTGTTCTCGTACACGGCTGATAAGGAGATCCGGACAGATGACCTGTGTCTGGACGTGTCTCGTCCCCATGGCCCTGTGGTCATGCTGAAGTGTCATCAAATGAAGGGGAATCAGATGTTTGAGTATGACGCAGAGGTAAGACCAAGACTCCTCCTGTATTGTACTGTGTGAGTCTTGACAGGAGTGTTGTAACTGGGATTATGACGCCTTTGCCACACACTGATTGTCCTGAGGAATTTCTTCACTATTACATAGCAAGAGATTTCATATTTATAATGACACACCTGTACTAATACATAAAAAACGTATTTTGTAAAAAATGTTATGATTGTTTTGAGCCACCAGAGGGTGGTACATGTCAGGAGTTGGGCTTCTGTTCAAATCCTGAACAATAGCCATCATTCTGTTACGCTGTGCACATTGCAGCCCATAATATTCCCCATTTATTAAAAATGTTCTTATCTGATGCAGTATGTTGGCAAGTGGGAATATGATTTTGAGGTAAGCTTGCTGACCTGGTTCTCATGAATGTTGTCATCTAGTTAAGGTAGACAGTGTATATACTGTAAGTCCTGTGTTTGGTAGGTAGTAGTATATTGTGCTTAGTGGTTGTAAGGCCAGTGTTTCTCTCATTAGTCTGTGAAGTCCTGTGTGACGTTATGTTAGTAGTCAATAGGAGTGTTCATGTTAATGCACTGGGGAATGTGACCTGTTAGCCAGACCAGGGGACCGATCAGATTCCACTGTCCAGTTATGAACCTAATGAAATGTGAGTCCCACACTGCACTCCACTGACTCAGACATAGTTGCAAAATTCCAGTAACTTTCCCAAAATTCCCTGGTTTTTCAGAAATCCTGGGTGGAAGATTCCTGGAATTTTGGGAAAGTTACTGGAATTTTGCAACCAAATGACAGTAATGTTAGACACTACTGAATGGCCCATTATATTCCAACAGATTGGTTTTCATTTCAATGATCCAGGACTGAATAGTACACTCCTAGATACAGTTGAAGTCGGAAGTTTACATACACCTTAGCCAAATACATTTAAACTCTGTTTTTCACAATTCCTGACATTTAATCCTAGTAAAAATTCCCTGTCTTAGGTCAGTTAGGATCACCACTTTATTTTAAGAATGTGAAATGTCAGAATAATAGTAGAGAGAATGATTTATTTCAGCTTTTATTTCTTTCATCACATTCCCAGTGGGTCAGAAGTTTACATACACTCAATTAGTATTTGGTAGCATTGCCTTTAAATTGTTTAACTTGGGTTAAACGTTTCGGGTAGCCTTCCACAAGCTTCCCACAATAAGTTGGGTGAATTTTGGCCCATTCCTCCTGACAGAGCTAGTGTAACTAAGTCAGGTTTGTAGGCCTCCTTGCTAGCACACGCTTTTTCAGTTCTGCCCACAAATGTTCTATAGGATTGAGGTCAGGGCTTTGTGATGGCCGCTCCAATACCTTGACTTTGTTGTCCTTTGTTGCCACCCCCGTGCTTCACGGTTGGGATGGTGTTCTTCGGCTTGCCACAACTTTGGATGTATGCTAGGGGTCATTGTCCATTTGGAAGACCCATTTGCGACCAAGCTTTAACTTCCTGACTGATGTCTTGAGATGTTGCTTCAATATATCCACATAATTTTCCTTCCTCATGATGCCATCTATTTTGTGAAATGCACTAGTCCCTCCTGCAGCAAAGCACCCCCACAGCATGATGCTGCCACCCCTGTGCTTCACGGTTGGGATGGTGTTCTTCGACTTGCAAGGCACCCCCTTTTTCCTCCAAACATAACGATGGTCATTATGGCCGAATAGTTCTATTTTTGTTTCATCAGACCAGAGGACATTTCTCCAAAAAGTACGATCTTTGTCCCCATGTGCAGTTGCAAACCGTAGTCTGTCTTTTTTATGGCGGTTTTGGAGCAGTGGCTTCTTCCTTGCTGAGCGGCCTTTCAAGTAATGTCGATATAGGACTTGTTTTACTGTGGATATAGATACTTTTGTGCAGTGGGGAAAAAAAGTATTTAGTCAGCCACCAATTGTGCAAGTTCTCCCACTTAAAAAGATGAGAGAGGCCTGTAATTTTCATCATAGGTACACGTCAACTATGACAGACAAAATGAGAGAAAAAAAATCCTGAAAATCACATTGTAGGATTTTTTATGAATTTATTTGCAAATTATGGTGGAAAATAAGTATTTGGTCAATAACAAACGTTTCTCAATACTTTGTTATATACCCTTTGTTGGCAATGACACAGGTCAAACGTTTTCTGTAAGTCTTCACAAGGTTTTCACACACTGTTGCTGGTATTTTGGCCCATTCCTCCATGCAGATCTCCTCTAGAGCAGTGATGTTTTGGGGCTGTCGCTGGACAACAAGGACTTTCAACTCCCTCCAAAGATGTTCTATGGGGTTGAGATCTGGAGACTGGCTAGGCCACTCCAGGACCTTGAAATGCTTCTTACGAAGCCACTCCTTCGTTGCCCGGGCGGTGTGTTTGGGATCATTGTCATGCTGAAAGACCCAGCCACGTTTCATCTTCAATGCCCTTGCTGATGGAAGGAGGTTTTCACTCAAAATCTCACGATACATGGCCCCATTCATTCTTTCCTTTACGCGGATCAGTCTTCCTGGTCCCTTTGCAGGAAAACAGCCCCAAAGCATGATGTTTCCACCCCCATGCTTCACAGTAGGTATGGTGTTCTTTGGATGCAACTCAGCATTCTTTGTCCTCCAAACACGACGAGTTGAGTTTTTACCAAAAAGTTATATTTTGGTTTCATCTGACCATATGACATTCTCCCAATCCTCTTCTGGATCATCCAAATGCACTCTAGCAAACTTCAGACGGGCCTGGACATGTACTGGCTTAAGCAGGGGGACACGTCTGGCACTGCAGGATTTGAGTCCCTGGCGGCGTAGTGTGTTACTTTGGTCCCAGCTCTCTGCAGGTCATTCACTAGGTCCCCCCCGTGTGGTTCTGGGATTTCTGCTCACCGTTCTTGTGATCATTTTGACCCCATGGGTGAGATCTTGCGTGGAGCCCCAGATCGAGGGAGATTATCAGTGGTCTTGTATGTCTTCCATTTCCTAATAATTGCTCCCACAGTTGATTTCTTCAAACCAAGCTGCTTACCTATTGCAGATTCAGTCTTCCCAGCCTGGTGCACAATGTGTCTACAATGTGTCTACAATTTTGTTTCTGGTGTCCTTTGACAGCTCTTTGGTCTTGGCCATAGTTGAGTTTGGAGTGTGACTGTTTGAGGTTGTGGACAGGTGTCTTTTATACTGATAACAAGTTCAAACAGGTGCCATTAATACAGGTTACGAGTGGAGGACAGAGGAGCCTCTTAAAGAAGAAGTTACAGGTCTGTGAGAGCCAGAAATCTTGGTTGTTTGTAGGTGACCAAATACTTATTTTCCACCATAATTTGCAAATAAATTCATAAAAAATCCTACAATGTGATTTTCTGGATTTTCTTTTCTCAATTTGTCTGTCATAGTTGACGTTTACCTATGATGAAAATTACAGGCCTCTCTCATCTTTTTAAGTGGGAGAACTTGCACAATTGGTGGCTGACTAAATACTTTTTTTCCCCACTGTACCTGTTTCCTCCAGCATCTTCACAAGGTCCTTTGCTGTTGTTCTGGGATTGATTTCTCTAGGAGACAGAACGCGTCTCCTTCCTGAGCGGTATGACGGCTGCGTAGTCCCATGGTGTTTATACTTGCACACTATTGTTTGTACAGATGAACGTGGTACCTTCAGGCGTTTGGAAATAGCTCCCAAGGATGAACCAGACTTGTGGAGGTCTACCATTTTTTTTCTGAGGTCTTGGCTGATTTCTTTTTATTTTCCCATGATGTCAAGCAAAGAGGGACTAAGTTTGAAGGTAGGCCTTGAAATACATCCAAAGGTACACCTCCAATTGACTCAAATGATGTCAATTAGCCTATCAGAAGCTTCTAAAGCCATGAATTTTCCAAGCTGTTTAAAGGCACAGTCAACTTAGTGTATGTAAACTTCTGACCCACTGGAATTGTGATACAGTGAATTATAAGTGAAATAATCTGTCTGTAAACAATTGTTGGAAAAATTACTTGTGTCATGCACAAAGTAGATGTCTTAACTGACTTGCCAAAACTATAGTATGTTAACAGGAAATGTGTGGAGTGGTTGAAAAACGAGTTTTCATGACTCCAACCTAAGTGTATGTAAACTTCCGACATCAACTGTATCTCCATAATATATCTATCATGCAAATCATCTATTCTAGTACAAGTGCCATTTTGATGTGCATCAGACTTTGAAACAGGTAGCACCAACAATAAAGCATTTGAATTCCCATAGGGAAAATGTAGGCCATGACAATTGTGTATTCTCAAAGTAGCCTTAATATGAACAATTAATATAAATATATTTCTTCCACTCAACTGTATCTCCATAATATATCTATCATGCAAATCATCTATTCTAGTACAAGTGCCATTTTGATGTGCATCAGACTTTGAAACAGGTAGCACCAACAATAAAGCATTTGAATTCCCATAGGGAAAATGTAGGCCATGACAATTGTGTATTCTCAAAGTAGCCTTAATATGAGCAATTAATATAAATATATTTCTTCCACTGGGACACATTCATATGTTCTACCTGCTCGATTATGGTGTCACCTGTCAGTGATTAAGATCTCTCATGTCACTGTTAACTTTGAAAAGCTCCCATCTATTCCTGTACAACCCCTGGGAGAGATCCAGCTATTACGCTTTTTACTTTAGTTATATATGTAATATGAAACATGAATAATTCATGTCCCTGACATATACAGGGGTGGGGTTCCAATGCCACTGTCAATGGCCTGGTTATTTTTAGCAACAGTGTGATGGGCGATACTGCTGATCCCAGCTGTACCATTAACATTTCATATGGTCATAAATTTCAGCATCGTAGAGAGAGAAATACCTGACTTTTACATATTCTCCATATTCCAGGTGGTCAGAGCCTGTGCTTGAAGTGGACTGAATTAGGTGTCAGTACTCACTTTGGGTACTCGTTTATATTAAGGTGCAAAAACGCTGCAATATTTTAAAGCCAGTACTCAAGCAGTAGAACATTTGACTTGCCGGTACTCAGTACCATTGTGTACCGGACCAATTCAAGCACTGGTCAGAGCCATCTCTCTACTCACCTCTATTCTCAATACCTCCCTGCTCATCTTTTAGGACTGTAGAATATCAGTCCCACCACACCACAAGTCCCATCCACTTCTATCAAACTAGGAAATCTGGTTGAAGATTTTCTGATTGTTGGCAAAGTTGGTTCCATTCTGAGCAACACTCCAACATGGTCCAACTGTAACCTTTGTCCTCCATTAGATGGGTTGTGTAGCATTGTGTTTTTTTTGGAATGGAAGTATACAGTACTGTTGATGATCTTGTTGGTCCTGCCTGGCCTGAGTCCTGGCTCTGTCCTAGCGATTCTCACTCACTCCCATCTCCTCTTGTCCATCCATGACATGTCCGTCCTCCATCCGGATGTCCATCCGCAGAAGCACACGTTCCTCCACATCATCACCCAGTCGTGTCTGACCATCAGCAGGCTGGAGGACGGTACTTGGGGCCCCACGGTGGAGTACTGTAATAGTAGCCCCTTGCAAACCTGGGTCCTGAGGAACTTCACCCGGCTGGAGGTGTTTAGGAAGCTGTACTACAGCCCAACTGATTACATTCTGTAGGGGCTGTCTTCCTGCATGGGCCACCGCAGGTCAGTACTGTACTATCTAGTGGAGGTCCTAGTGTGTAGTAGCCTAGTGCGTAGTGGTCTAGTGTGCCAAGAAAATTAGCCCGTCCTGCTATATCTCTGCTCACCAGCCACCACTGGTGTAGTTGGCTAGTGTGTAATCGTCTAGTCTAGTGTGTAGTATCTAGTCTGTAGAGCTGGAGTTGTGTGACTGTGGTGGAATAGGCTGTCACGTTGCTTTAGTAAGCAGCTTTTTACCTCACAGAATGTTTGTTTTAATTTCTTTTGCCTCAGCCTTGACATGCTCTTCTTGGAGCTTGAGCTTGTTGAGATTCTGAACTTTTCCGTTGTTAGTAAAAGTGTGCCATGCAAAGCAGTTTCAAAGGCATTTAGTAGCGATTACCACTGACCTTTTGATATGAATGCATAATGACAGGAACACAGAGACACATAAGGCAATAGTAGACGTCCCTCGACAGCTCTAGATGGTGCTGTATACATGGCGCTATCTGCAAGACCTTTATCCAGCCTTCTTCCGCACCAAATTAGATGTAATTTTACATTTATTTTCCTACATTAATATTTTATTTTGATACAAAAAAATCACTGGCTGTGGCCCCTCATACAGCGGTCCTCATTAAATGAGAATTGAGGAGACAAGGTCCTTTTTATTTTTAGCTGATTATCTAGCTATTTGATGGGCAGATTGAAATGGGCTCGCCTTTGTTTACAAGTTCCTTTGAAGTGATCCTCTTTCATGGCGCTGGCCTTGGGAAAGTGAGGGCTGCATTTTGAACACACTCCATAACAGCTGTGTTCAGCTTGCAGCATGTTCTCATTGTCTGAGGACTGAATTTCAATCACCACTCCTCATTTCCATTTGACCTATCCATATACTAAATCTAGTCTGGATGCTCGATGCAAGTAACTACTGTCTTCAGTTTGATATATGTATTGTCAGTCCCTTAACTTTAGCCAGTTGCCTCTTTCCAGTACCTCTGTAATTCATTGGAGTTTATTTGTCTGTTAAACAGTCTGTGTTTGCCTGATAATGACCATATTCATGGCTGTGTGCTCTCCTTTTCAGACTACTGTTGGTTAAATTGGGGGAGTTGCGTTCAGGGTTATTGCTGTTTGTAAACGTGACGGTGCTAGTGCAGCCTGCTGTCAGATGGCCTTATTCCGTGTTCTGTTCCTACCATGTTCACTGTCCTTGAGAGTAGCACTGCAAGACACTCTCTGAACACAATTAGACAGTGGGTGCGTCTCAAATGCCACCCTATGCCCTTTATAGTGCACTACTTTTGACCAAAGCTCTATCAGGCTCTGGTCAAATGTAGAGCACTATAAAGGGAATAAGATGCCATTTGGGATTCATCCACAGTTTTCTATCTGATCGTCGCCTGCTCCCTCAAATGGCAAAATGCCAAGAAACACATTTCCATTAAATCTGTTGGTACGGTGTTGATTTTTTGTTACATGCCAGCCTCTGTTTTTAAGCGTTGTTAGTGTCAGCACAAACACACATTTTAAAAGAGATCCTGCATCTGTCAGTGAGTCCGGTCGTCGACTCTTCTTTGTGAATGACAAAGAGGATAAATGTTCTTCACCCTGGGCTGACTCCTAGAAACCATCTTCATTTAATTAGCAGGTCTCAGCTGTGCACACACACGGCACAGAGCTCATGAGCCACTCTCTGGGACTGCCTCTGCTGTAATGGGAGTTTTTACTGCCTCTGGGACTGCCTCTGCTGTAATGGGAGTTTTTACTGCCACTGGGACTGCCTCTGCTGTAATGGGAGTTTTTTTGCCACTGAGGAGCAATTAAATAATTATAAGCAGAGGACCCCCCACATTTCTAATATTTTAATTAAATATGGATTGGTTTTCCTCTGTACTTCTTACTCTCTTTTCTGCACTGTAGAATGGTGGGATCTTTCAGAGATGGCAGAAATAGCACCTTCATCATTGCCCTAGCTATGTTCTTATGATTAATAAATAAGCTTTAGTGTAGTGGTTCATACTTGACCTTACCATCAGGTACGGGACTATAATGGCAGATATTACAATTCTGGCTTGATAATGTAATATTATTTGAACAGGTATGGTTTTGAGGACATCAATACATGAATATATTTTATTCATTTAAAAAAGCAGAACATTGTATTATTATTTATTTTTTTAAACCTTTGACTGTTAAGTGCACCAAAACCTGCCTGAGTGGTTTAACTGTAATGCCTTGTTCATCTCCCCTCGAGTGAAGTAATAGTACAAAACACACAGAGAGAACAGAGATAAAGATAGTGGAGAGTGTGTGTGTAATGGTCTCTGTCAGTGGTGCTTTGAATGCAGGTAGAGTTTATTAAGCTTTACCTCACTTCCCAAAAACAAACAGTGGACAATCAGATACATTCAAACCATCTTGATTTGTCCTACCCATTCAAAACATAAAGGCTGAATACAGAACTGAAAACGAACTCTATAACTTCAGGATAATCATTGCCTGAAAGTCAAAGACAATAATTGCTGCAAATTCAATGTATTCAGCTACAGTATGTGGACCATTTTAACATTTTTGATTCAGTGCGTTCTTAGTCATGACTAAAACCTAATGGCCTGATTACAATGAAGACACGGCACCTGCGGGTTACCTCCAGGTTACCGCTGGATTTCTTAATACGCTGCTAACGGGAGATTACATGGTGCTCCGTGCTAAAATAACCCTGGTTGCAATGAAGAAGCAGCGGAATAAAACTAGTAAACCAGCTGATCTGACACTGTTACGGTGTCAAGCCGGCTTAATACTAGACAGCGGAAATGGCATGGGAAATGGTCATTTTCTGCGTTCCCTACTCCCACCCCAATGAAGAAACATCCTATCAGGGACAACAAAATCGAAAGATGAAAAAGATAAATGCAAGAATGTGACATATTACAATGATTCGACTGATGATTATAACTTTGCGAAAATAAAGTAATTGAAGACCAACTTTTAGCACATTGTAAATTAAAGTGATATGGATTGCAGAAACGTGTGATAGACAATTGAAATGTCATTATTAGATGAAGCTCTTTGCATCTATTTCTTTGAATAACGACTTCTAAATAATAAGAAATTACTCTACCTAACACATTTCTTTTCAATTCAGACATTATTTCTTCAATAAAGTACCATGGCCAAGACCATGGCATTGGGTTTATGAACTGATATACAAACAACAATTGACGCATCAATCCATTCTTTTCAATTTAAACTATTATATCAAATTTTCACCACAAAATTAAAGCTCAACATATGGGGCATTGAACAGTCAGCCCTGTGCAGACTCTGCCACGAGGAAACAGAATCAATAGATCATCTCATCAAGTCATAGTCTGTGTTCAGCAGGACCTACAAACAGTACTGTCAAAAGATCTGAAAAACCACGATCAATCAATGGGAAATATGATTATACTCTTAGGTAAAGTATTTATTTTTAGGGCAATCTCAGTAGAAATGGTACAAATAGAGGTTCAAGACCCTTGTAAGATATCATAGTAAAATAGAAGAATGTATTGCAAAAGGAAATAGTAAAATGGTAGTGGACTGGGAAAGATGGGTTAGGCTGTGGGTTGAAATTAAGATTGGAGTGAGTGATTGATTGATTTTCCGACACACTTGTAGTCCAGTGTGATTAGGAAATAAACTATGTATGTATGTATGTGCATTTTTATGTTTTCCACCAAGTCCAACCAGGGGAGAGGGGGATAGGGGCATAAAAAATATATACCGGTCAAAAATTTCAGAACAACTACACATTCAAGGGATTTTCTTTATTTTTACTATTTTCTACATTGTAGAATAATAGCGAAGATATCAAAACTATTAAATAACACATATGGAATCATGTAGTAACCAGAAAAGTGTTAAACAAATCAAAATATATTTTATATTTAAGATTCTTCAAATAGCCACCCTTTGCCTCTGATATAAAGTCGTTTTTTTTCAAAGTTGACGAGATGACACATGCGTCCACTTATCAGTGCATTCGTAACTACTTAAATAACCATTATGAAACTTCTATTAGATCAAATAAGTCTCACGTAGCAAATTTGCAATTCCATTTTTTGTTGACCAAATTCGACGCTCATTGACCGCCATACAAAAATGTGTCACTTTGTGGTCTTATTTTCATGGACAGATTTTGGGCGGCGTAAACCGCTTTGCCTATTCCTCTCTGGTTGCAATCAGGACTAAAAGATAACCCCGACATCCACATTATGGAGCGATAAATCAGTGGTGGATGATGGTTGCAATTAAGATCAGCTGTGCGGGTAATTTTAACGCGTATTTATGGTTTAACGAAAGATCAGCTGGCGATAATCAAGTGGCCAATGTTAGTTGCAATTGGCCCCATTTAGGCAACTAATGATTTTCCATTTAATTTGATGGTAACAATGCATGTGCTTCTCAGTTACTCTACAGGAAAATCAATCAACCAATCAATGAAAGATTTTATAAAGCACTTTTTACATCAGAAGTTGTCACACAGTGCTTTACAGTTACCTGGCCTAGACCCCAAAGAGCAAGCAAAGCAGAGGTGTGAGCACAGTGGACAGGAAAAACTCCCTAGAAGGAAACTCATTGCATTTGATCCAACCCATTAGCAATAGGACTGGAGAATATGGATTCTAGCATTCTGTCAAACTATGATGCAAAATCAATGCTTAAGTTTAAATGATAAACCAACTCCCTGCGTCATTTGTTTTAGCAGACTGAAGTTAGTGTCACGAATACCGCCAAGGCTGCTCCTCCTCCTTGTTCGGGCAGGCTTCGGCGTTCGTCGTCCCCGGAGTACTAGCTGCCACCGTTTGATGTTTTCGATGTTTGTTTGGTCTAGTTTAGTGCACCTGTTTCGTATTCTGTCCTGATTATGTCACCTATAAGTTTCCCTGTGTTATGTTTTGTAGTTGTGTGTTATTGTCCGCCTGTCGTTTTGTTGTGAGGTTCGGTACTTTTGTTTATGAGTGTTTTACGCATTTCGCGTATCAGTTCGCCTCCGTTGTTTCGAGGCCATTTAGTTTTGTATCTTGTTCAATTACTTCAGTATAGTCGTTTTGACTTATCCGCTGCTGTGTCCTGCGCCTGACTTCACCACCGCATCCACATCAGTATCGTGACAGAATAACACACCTGAATACTATAGAGTCAGCAGGAGCAGCGGCGGTAACCGAGTCGCTTGAGGATCGGGTCAGCTGCCAGGACGCCAGGATCCAGCAACTCGGATCCGCTATGCAAGAAGTAATGAACACCCTGCGCCGATGGGAGAGAGGAGGCTTGCCCACACCTCCTCCTACCGTACCACCACCATCGGTCAGCTCCACCATACCAGCTCCGGAGTCCAGTGGTATTCGGCTCTCGCTCCCGAGGGCATATGATGGCACCGCAGCCGGGTGTCAGGGGTTCCTCCTTCAAGTGGAACTCTACCTGGCAACCATACACCCGGCGCCCTCGGGATACGAGAGCGTTTCCGCCCTCATCCCCTGTCTCTCCGGCAAGGCGTTGCAGTGGGCCAATGCCGAATGGAGGGGAATAGACGTCGCCACCATCAGCTACGCAGAGTTCTCCCGCCGCTTCAGGGCTGTTTTCGATCATCCCCCTGAGGGTAAAGCGGCGGGGGAGCGTCTGTTCCACCTTCGACAGGGGAAGAGGAGCGCACAGGAGTTCGCCCTGGACTTCCGGACTCTAGCGGCGGATGCAGGGTGGAATGAGAGGGCCCTCATCGACCACTATCGGTGTAGCCTGCGTGAGGACGTTCGACGAGAGTTGGCCTGCAGGGACACCAATCTAACCTTCGACCAGCTGGTGGACATGTCCATCCGTCTGGATACCCTGCTGGCCACCCACGGACGTCCAGAGTTGGGGCCGTCCATTCCATCCCCCAGCACCTCCGAGCCGAGCCCTATGGAGCTCGGGGGTGCTGGCGCTAGAGAGAGGAGGAGAGAGATTCCGAGGGAGGCCGTCCCCTGCACCAACTGTGGTCGTAGAGGACACACTGCGGCTAGGTGCTGGGGAGGGTCTCCAGGGGTTCGAGGCAACAGGTTGCGCACTGGGGAGTCATTCCAGGTGAGTAGGCGCCCAACTCACCCAGAGCTCTCTGTTGTTCACTTTTGTATACCTGTAGTATTTCCTCAGGTTGCATCTCAGTCCCAGCATAAGGCGCTAGTCGATTCAGAGCGCAGCTGGGAATTTCATTGATCGTCATTTTTGTGTGAGGTTAGGGATTCCCCTCCTGCCCGTTGATGCACCCTTCCCTATCCATGCCCTAGATAGCCGTCCGTTGGGATCTGGGTTGATTAGGGTGGTCACAGCGCCACTTAAGATGAGGACGCAGGGGGGTCATGAAGAGATTATTCAGTTGTATCTGATCGACTCTCCTGCGTATCCCGTGGTACTGGGGCTTCCTTGGTTAATCGCCCATGACCCCACCATTTTGTGGCAACAGAGGGCTCTCAAGGAGTGGTCTAACCAGTGTGTCGGGCGATGTTTAGGTGTTTCCGTAGGGGCGACCACAGTGGAGAGTCCGAACCAGGTGCCCGCAATGCACATTCCCCCCGAGTATGAGGATTTGGCACTCGTGTTCAGCAAGACTAGGGCGACGCGATTGCCACCTCATAGACGGGGAGATTGTGCGATAGACCTCCTGGCAGGTGCGGCACTTCCGCGGAGCCATGTGTATCCCTTGTCTCAAGAGGAGACGGCGGCTATGGAGACGTACATAGCCGAGTCTCTGAGACAGGGTAACATACGGCCCTCCACTTCCCCTGTGTCCTCGAGTTTCTTTTTTGTGAAGAAAAAGGATGGAGGGTTGCGCCCGTGTATTGATTACCGTAATCTCAATCAGATCACTGTTAAATACAGTTATCCTCTTCCTCTGATTGCGAGTATGACGGAATCATTACGCGGAGCACGTTTCTTCACAAAACTGGATCTCAGGAGCGCTTACAACTTGGTGCGCATTAGGGAGGGAGATGAATGGAAGACAGCATTTAGTACCACCTCGGGTCATTATGAGTATCTCGTCATGCCATACGGGTTAATGAATGCTCCTTCAGTCTTCCAATCCTTTGTGGACGAGATCTTCCGGGACTTGCATGGGCAGGGTGTGGTCGTGTACATTGACGACATTCTAGTGTACTCTTCTACACGAGCCGAGCATGTAGCCCTGGTACGCCGAGTGTTGGGTAGGCTGTTGGAGCATGACTTCTATGTCAAGGCAGAGAAATGTCTGTTTTTCCAGGAGTCCATCTCCTTCTTGGGTCATCGGTTGTCCGCGTCAGGGGTGGAGATGGAGATTGACCGTGTGTCAGCCGTGTGTAATTGGCAGACTCCAACCACTGTTAAAGAGGTGCAACGGTTTTTGGGTTTTGCCAATTACTACCGGAGGTTTATCCGGGGTTTTGGACAGGTGGCAGCTCCCATCACTTCCCTGCTGAAGGGGGGCCCGGTGCGTTTGCAGTGGTCGGCTGAGGCGGACAGGGCGTTTGATAAACTGAAGAACCTGTTCACCTCGGCTCCGGTGCTGGCGCATCCGGACCCCGCTTTAGCATTCCAAGTGGAGGTGGACGCGTCAGAGGCCGGTATTGGGGAAGTATTGTCTCAACGCTCAGGCACGCCTCCTAAACAGCGGAACGAAATTATGACGTAGGGGACAGGGAGCTGCTAGCCGTAGTTCAGGCCCTAAAGGTGTGGAGGCATTGGCTTGAGGGGGCTCAACACCCTTTTCTCATTCTGACTGACCATCGTAACCTGGAGTACATCCGGGCAGCTAGGAGACTGAACCCTCGTCAGGCTAGGTGGAACATGTTTCTGACCCGGTTTGTTTTTAAGCTTACTTACATCCCAGGGTCCCAGAACGGTAAGGCAGACGCCCTGTCCCGGCGGTATGACACAGAGGAGAGGTCCATTGAGCCCACTCCCATACTGCCGGAGTCTTGTCTGGTGGCACCGGTGGTGTGGGAGATCGATACGGAAATTGAGCGGGCGTTCCGCACCGACCCTACTCCTCCGGAGTGTCCAGTGGGGCGGACGTACGTGCCGTTCGAGATCCGCGATGGTCTCATATATTGGGCTCACACGTCACCCTCCTCTGGACATCGAGGTATTGGCCGGACAGTGCACTGCCTTAGTGTTAAGTACTGGTGGCCAACATTGGCTAGGGACGTGAGGGTTTATGTCTCCTCCTGCCCAGTGTGCGCCCAGTGTAAGGCGCCTAGACACCTGCCCAGGGGGAAGTTACAGCCCCTGCCCGTTCCACAACGGCTGTGGTCTCACCTCTCGGTAGACTTTGTCACTGACCTACCCCCCTCCCAGGGTAATACCACTATTCTGGTCGTTGTGGATCGGTTCTCTAAGGCCTGTCGTCTCATCCCAATGCCGGGTCTCCCTACTGTCCTACAGACCGCTGAGGCTTTGTTTACCCACGTCTTCCGGCACTACGGGGTTCCCGAGGATATAGTGTCCGATCGAGGTCCCCAATTCACCTCTAGAGTCTGGAGGGCGTTCATGGAACGTTTGGGGGTCTCGGTTAGCTTTACCTCAGGTTTTCACCCTGAGAGTAATGGGCAGGTGGAGAGAGTGAACCAGGATGTGGGTAGGTTTCTCAGATCGTATTGCCAGGACCGGCAGGAGGAGTGGTCGGGATATATCCCTTGGGCAGAGATTGCCCAGAACTCTCTTCGCCACTCCTCTACTAACCTGACCCCTTTCCAGTGTGTGTTAGGGTATCAGCCGGTTCTGGCACCATGGCATCAGAGCCAGATCGAGGCTCCTGCGGTGGATGAGTGGTTTCGGCGCTCGGAGGAGACGTGGAACGCTGCACACGTCCATCTGCAGCGGGCTATCCGTAGACAGAAGGCGAGCGCCGATCTCCACCGCAGTGAGGGTCCAATATACGCACCTGGCTCTCGACTCGAAACCTGCCCCTTCGCCTGCCCTGCCGGAAGCTGGGTCGGCGGTTTGTGGGGCCATTTAAAGTCCTGAGGAGATTGAACGAGGTATGCTACAAGTTACAACTGCCTAATGATTATCACATTAACCCCTCGTTCCATGTGTCTCTCCTCAGGCCGGTGGTAGCTGGTCCACTCCAGGACAGTGAGATAAGAGAGACTCCTCCGCCCCCACTGGACATCGAGGGGGCTCCGGCGTACTCAGTCCGGTCCATCGTGGATTCGAGACGTCGGATGGGGGGTCTACAATATCTCGTGGAGTGGGAGGGGTACGGTCCGGAGGAACGGTGCTGGGTGCCTAGGAGGGACATCTTAGATCCCTCCCTCCTGACGGAGTTCCACCGTAACCATCCCACGCGCCCTGCTCCGCGTCCTCCTGGCCGTCCCAGAGGCCGGGGTCGGCGCACGGCTGGAGCCGCGCGTCAAGGGGGGGGGTACTGTCACGAATACCGCCGAGGCTGCTCCTCCTCCTTGTTCGGGCAGGCTTCGGCGTTCGTCGTCCCCAGAGTACTAGCTGCCACCGTTTGATGTTTTCGATGTTTGTTTGGTCATGTCTAGTTTAGTGCACCTGTTTCGTATTCTGTCCTGATTATGTCACCTATAAGTTTCCCTGTGTTATGTTTTGTAGTTGTGTGTTATTGTCCGCCTGTCGTTTTGTTGTGAGGTTCGGTACTTTTGTTTATGAGTGTTTTACGCATTTCGCGTATCAGTTCGCCTCCGTTGTTTCGAGGCCATTTAGTTTTGTATCTTGTTCAATTACTTCAGTATAGTCGTTTTGACTTATCCGCTGTGTCCTGCGCCTGACTTCACCACCGCATCCACATCCGTATCGTGACAGTTAGTTAATCAAAATACAGTTAATGAATATCACAATGAATTGATCAAGAAGTTGAAGTCAAGACTTTATTGGTTTCTGAAAATAAATAAATATGTAAAACACTATGGAGTTTGATAAACTGCATTGGTACTTGGATTGGAACCGGTGCAATGGTCAGATGACATGAAATTAGAGCTCTTTGGCCACACACACCAGTGGTGGGTTTGACGTTGAAAAACAGAACCATATGCAGAAAGGTACCTCATACCTATGGTACAATATGGTGGTGGATCTTTTGATTCTATGGGGCTGTTTTGCCTCCACTGGTCCTGGGGCCCTTGTTAAGGTCAACGGCATCATGAACTTTACCAAGAACCAGGACATTTGAGCTAAAAACCTCTGCCAGGACACTGACACTTGGCCGCAAGTGGATCTTCCAGCAAGACAATAACCCCAAGCACTAATCAAAATCCACAAAGAAATGAATGCAAAAATCTCTAGACTTGAACACCATTGGAAACCTGTGGTTTGAATGGAAGAGGGCAGTCCATAAGAGCAGACTAAAGATATCGAGGGTCTAGAAAGATTCTGTATGGAGGAATGGTCTAAGATCCCTCCCAACATGTTCTCCAATCTCATTAAACATTTTAGAAAAAGGCTCCGTGCTAGAGGATTGAAAACAGGGGTGCCAATAATGTTTTATTTATTTATATTATTACTTATATTTATATATCTTTCTCTCAGCAATTGTATTAGTATAAAATAATGTAATTTTCCAATTTTTTTGAGCTCAGTATTTTATATTATTGATTTTATACAGTCTTTTTTGATAATCTTTATCAAGGGTGCCAATAATTATGGACCTGGCACCATTGTCCATGTATAGTGCACTACTTTTGACCAGGGCTCAAAACCCAAGTGGATTGAGCTGGAGATTCATTGCATGGAAAACTGTTCTGACACAATACAGCTTACGCTAGCGGTTGGGCCGCTACCCCCACAAAGCTAGATAATTTTTTTATTAATGTAATTTTACAATATGTATGTCGTGGTTCTTTGATAGAAAATTGTATTTTACAACCTCAGAAGTGAAACATGGCCAAATGGCAGGAATTGGATTCTACCCCATCTCTGCTCTGTATGGACATTATGACTAGAGTAGCAACTGGCGACGGAGGTATAAAATGGCAAAGTACAGTACCTCCTTGCCATTAGTCTTGGGGCTTAGGTATCGACACGAGGAAACACTCAAAAGATTATCGACACTCAAAAGATTGATATCTACAAAACAAATCCTCTTGAGGTAAAAAAAGTCCAGAGATTCATTCAAGAGCCTTGATTTTTATCACAAAATTAATGTAGAAAGACTTGACACTTATATAGTGCAATATAAATCAGCATAATTTCAATACCCATTGATGATGTTCCAGTAAATTAAATGTAATCCACATTCAACCTGCTGGAAAAGATACTGCAAAATGTGTGGAAGACATACATTCTGAAATATCTCTCATCTCCCCAGTAACCATCTTTCTGGCTGCAGGTGGAGCAGAGGCCAAGAACCCGGCCTATGTGTTCAGTGCATAATGGTAATTCACCTGTGTGTGTGTGTGTGTGTGTGTGTGTGTTTCTGCCTGTGTGTGCCTGTTTCTGCCTCTGTCTGCCTGCGCCTCTCTCCCCAGCGGCTGACCCTGCTGCACGTCAATAGTAACCAGTGTCTGGACATGCCTACTGAGGAGGACAAGATGGTGCCCACCCTGAGAGACTGCACAGGCAGCCGCTCCCAGCAGTGGTTCCTCCGCAACATGACACTGACGCTCTGATCTGATCAGAAGCAGGACCTCCACCTTCACTCACCACCACCCTGGCCAGTTTTGCCCCCACCTGAACCGCCGTCCACTTCGCTCCGCTGGTCACTACCTTGCCTTGCTCCACCAGGTATCTTTTATCATGCACACGCTCCTGCCTCCTTCAGCACTCGCAGGTGGGGAAGAAGCAGGCAGGTAGCAGCCTGTCGTTTTTTAAAAATCCTGGGGCTTTGGAGGCTCGGTGAGGGCTTTATCTGAGATGCTGCTCCTCTCATTCAATCAATATTACACACAGTGGCTGCCTAGAGGCAGATGTGCACACTCTGTATGGTTGAATCATATGAACGGGTCTGAAGTGACGGTGACATATGGACGAAGCTGGAATCAGAGTGACTATCACACTAACGATACTGTATATGTCCGATGGCTCTCAGGACTGGTCATGTGTGAGTTCAGAGTTCTGACCTTTGTACAGCAGCAGCACCAATAGCAGGACACCATTTCCTAGACAGAGTATTGTAATGTGCGTCTGTGGGGTCTCACAGACTATGTACTCTGGCTCTGTACATAGGTGTGTGTTTAAAGTGCAACCATGAAAGGAGATGATTCTGTTCTATGACATTGTACACCCCAAATTCATATCTATTTTGGAGTCACATGTACATCTGAGGGTGAAGGGTAAGGGTTGGTGTTGTTGATGGGTACATATCAAGAGGCTGAAAAAACTCTAAACATTGGAGGTGATATAGAACTCATGCATGGAGGCATATAGCTGTGAAATCTAATTTATTGTTATCCAATTTGCATTACAAATGTAATTTAGGCAGCTTTTTGCTTCCATGCTCATGGCATAAAGGTTTGCACTGTCCCTTTGTATTACAGGAAACAGATACGTCATGTCATAACACTGTTACTGTTTCAAAACATAATTGTATATCTGAGGCCAAAGTTACTTTGATTGATACAGTATGCCTTAAGAGAGTAGTCAGTTATTGAATCGGTCAAGGAATTGAGAGGAAGGAAAAAGCTTGACGAGCTTTGCCTCCAACTCAAGTGGAGTAGTTATCACAGAATGCAGTTATTTGTGAAAATAGTTTTTCCAAAATGTTTCTACTGCACTGTAGCACAGTCTGCTCCCCAAACATTGGATTATGTATGTATCTTTTATTTAGGATACATTTGTCTATTTTAAGGTTTCCTTATTCAACTTATACATTATATCCATCACTTTTATTATAATAGTTTACTCATAGCCTCCCGAGTGGCGCAGCGGTTTAAGGCACTACAGACCCGGGTTCGGTCCCAGGCTGTGTCACAGCCGGCCGTGACCGGGAGCCCCATGAGGCGGCGCACAATTGGCCCAGTGTCGTCCGGGTTAGGGTAGGGTTTGGCCGGCCGGGATTTCCTTGTCCCATCGCGCTCTAGCGACTCCTTGTGGTGGGCCGGGCGCCTGCAAGCTGCTTCGGTGTTTGCGCTGACACATTGGTGCGACTGGCTTCCGGGTTAAGCGAGCAGTGCGGCTTGGCAGTGTTGTGTTTCGGAGGATGCATGGCTCTCGACCTTCGCCTCTCCCGAGTCCGTAGGGGAGTTGCAGCGATGGGACAAGACTGTAAATACCAATTGGCTATCACGTAAAAGTACAAAAAAATTACAATAATAATCGTTTACTTATCATTTGCACGGTTCTTTATAACATATCATTAGCCCGATCTAAATATAAAGCAAAAATGATCTGTAGACATAAAAAGGTTGTGAGTGCCTTTAGAATGTTAATTTGAATATCAAGTTTCTTGTTTATTGAATTAAGCTATTGTGAAGTCTAAAGATCTCCGAAACATCTCAGCATTGGTGAATAAATCAATATGAACAATGTCAACAGTATAATGAGACTAAAGAAAACTCATCATATTATTTTACCTCTTTACTGTACCATTTTGATCATCAGTCAAACATGCATCCCAAATCGTGCCCTATTGCACTGTTTTTGAGCAGGTCTCACAGGGCTCTGGTCAAAAGTAGTGCTCCATATATGGTGCCATTTGGGATGCATCCAAAATGTCTTGATATGGTCAACATTTTAGAAAATGGATCAACTATGTTTTTCAATGGATTGTCAAACCAGACCAGCTGATATACGGTAGTGTAAATAAATAACGTCATCAAAATGTTTTCATCATCATAGTAACTGTACATACAGAACCAATTATTTTTCTAAGATGCTGTAAAACTTGAAAGCCCCGTTGAAATGTAGAACGTGGCATGGTTATGTAATTTAATGCATTGCTGTGCGCTGTTCAGAAATATACATGAAACTCTGTTAATGCTTTCTAGGGGTTTATGAAATGTGCAATGTGTTTAGAGGTTCATCAGCAAAAACCCACTAACTACCTAATGGACATTACTGTACTAAAACAGATTGAAACTATCTCAATGCTTGAACACTGTCATATCTATGCCTACTGTTTGTTTGGCATTCAGACTCAAATTAAATTAAACTCTCAGTTTACGTTCATATATATTTATTGTTTAGTTTCACCTAGATTATCTTTAGATGTACGGTGAAGTTTCCCATAGACGCATATCCCCCACTAATGGTTAAGGTTAGGATTGGGTGATGGAAGCTGATTCTAGATCTGTACCTAGGGGAAACTTCACCCCGGAGCTTATCTTTACATGCATGGTATTACAATAGGAATGTACTATAGATTGTGTTTGAATTTTGAACTGTTACACTGTACATGTATTGGTCTAAACGGATGTATGTTAGCTGTTTGTACATTTTTGTAAAAACAAAACAATTATAAATGAAAAAAAGTATCTTGATGGAATCTGCCATGCGTTTGATTACTGGGGATGATACGAACGAATGAAACTGTGAACGACAAATCTAATAAATCTGTTGTTGATTAAATGTTTCTGTTGAAGTTTTTAGGGCCCCTGTGTCTCCCATCTCCTCCTTAGCTCTAGGGATGTGTCTGAAATGGCACCCTATTTTCTATATACTGCACTACTTTTGACCAGGGCCCATAGGGCTCTAGGGTCCTGGTCAAAAGTAGTGCACTATACAGGGAATAGGGTGCCATTTGGGACTCAGCCCTAATATCTACTAGGAGGCTGGCGGCGTTTTAACCATGGCTCAGTAATAGGCTCATTATAGCTGCTAGGTCAGGTCTAGGGTTAGGCTGTGGAGAAGGTCCAGTGTTTGGGGCTGGGATTCAATCTGATTGCCCTTTGTCGACAATGCGTCTTTTAAAGGCAATGTTCCCACGTTCCCATCTTTTAAAGGCAATGTTCCTGTGTTCACGGAGACCGCATTCACGGTAAACGCTAATTGTAAGTCGCTATGGATAAGTGTCTGATAAATGACTAAAATGTAAATGTAAATATGTTGGCTCAATCGGAAACTACCTTTTAAATGGCGCGTTGTCGACAAAGCGCGATCAGATTGAATCTCAGTTGAAAATGGCTTCCAATAAGACTCAGTCTAAGGTTGAGGTCTTGACGACAAACGATTTCACACTAATTTGGTTTATAGAGGCCTTACATTGCTGGATAACGGTCTCAAAGCTTATTTGCATAATATTAAAATAATAGCATAACTTAATTGCTGTACTGTATATTTCCCTTTTCCCCTCCCACATCAGAGAATGGGAAGGTTTTTTAAATAAATATTTGTAAACCTCTCCAAGGCAACCACTCCAGTGTAATGAATGACTCCTCATGGGGCCCAAACTGAGTTTGGCTGCACAACACGTCAGCACCTCTGCACAGCAGCAGGCTAGAAGGCAGGCACCCTAAGCCAGCATCAATCAGCCAGGCTCACACCTGCGGGCAGCTGCAGGGCCTGGACAGACAAATCAAGACACATGAGGATAAATAAGATAGCCACACAGGGCTGCCAGTCTATTACAGGGTGAGATGGTTTAAAATAAGAGCATAATGGAAGCCTTATCTGACTGGGCTCGCTGTGGCTCTAAGAGGTACTGCATGATTAGTGCCCCTCACCATGGAGACAGCCAGGGATTTAACGCTTTCACGTCTGTGTTGATTATAGAGACGTTTCACATCCAGTTTCCTGAAGAAACGGCAGTGCATTAGCTACTACAGCACTTGACTACTACATTCACCATCCCCTTCATATGTTCCGTTATTCACACAATTAATTAAATTTTCTTCCCAACATCAACACCCTCACGATTTAATGCATGGGAGGAAGGCCACGGTCCTATACTGTGTTTGTCCTCTCTTTCTCCGTGTGTCTGATACGTACATGATCGTGTGTGTCTGCCTGCCTCTCTCTCCCTGCTAGTGCGCTCGATATATGGGATTCTATTCAGTCGGGGGAAGTGAATCCAATAATGGGGAGAGTGGAAGGATAATCAGTACCCTGGATGGCCCCTTTCTTCTCACACAGGATCAGAGGTCCAGAGGAGGAAGCCGGCCCTTAATTGTTGTGGGGACTTGCGCTTCCACTGCGCCCAGAATGAAAAATAGCTTTCATTAGAGATGGTTTGAGGCAAGACTGTGGGAGACTGGGGAGACTGATCCATTGCCACGGGAGAGGTGTCTGCCTGTAGTAGTACATCTCAAATGTACAGAACTTGACAGCGACCCAAAAGGCATCATATTCCCTAGATGGTGCACTCATTTTTTATGCACTCTCCGGTTAACAGTAGTGCACTATATAGGGAATAGGGTGCTATTTGGGACGCAGGGCCTAGACGATCTGCGGTGACTGCTGCAGAAGCCCTGGTGCAATCTGGATATTGACATGTTTAA